AACTCTACAAACCATCTTCCAAAGCGGCTTACAAAAGGGTGCACCACCTACCCAAAACAATAATCACCATAGCAACAGCCATAACAATGGCATAGACGCTAACCCATTGTCTTTGGTCTTCTTTAATAGGTTAATATTTTCTACATCATCTGTGAAAATTTCAGTGTGATTGAATGAAGTATGAAAAAATGAGAGCAGTTGGTTACTTACTTTCTGATCGGGCCTCGTATGTCCTTTTGGTCCAGAACAAACGGAATATCTCTAAAAGGAGGCGTTGATTGAGTTGGCTAGTTAAGAACTTTACCAATTCGTGTATCATCCCACATACCCTTTGCCCAAGCCATGTGACACGACTCCACCAATCACACAGAAGACGTTATCAAAATGCCAGAGTAAAGAAACGACGGCCATATTGAAAGCATAGCTGAAGTGTTTCATCACCCCACGTGCACATGCCATTATCAAGTCAGGACTTGCGTCACTAATGTGGTCGACACATAACTCCAGATAACGCCATTAGACAATTCGTTAGGTCTACCGAGGCATACGCATATAGAATTATAATAACAATAAAATATTATTGAAAATGAAAAGCAATATTATTGAAAATGAAAAGCAATCTACGTCCCCCAAGAGCACTTGTGACTGTGACGAGCCATCATGATAAACCGTGACATTTCATTTCTTTCTCAGCCCTGAGATGTGTTTCATGTGAAACAGAAAGAAGATATGAGCATCAGAATGGTGACGAGCAGGTCGACACTATGTATCACTTACAATCCTACATGTATTTAAATGTCTAATGACGTATTAGAAAAAGTTCTGATTAAGAAAGTGCCAGCCAAATAAATGAAATTAAGCCTCGGACTGGAAATTCAGACGGGAGCTTTCTCTTCATCCAATAGTTCTTGTAGACGAGAAACGAAAATGTTTAAGTATTTCCATATCGTTTAATTGTTTATTCAATGAAGAAAGCTAAATTATTTGTGGCTTAAAATTAACAAAACATGTAAAAGAATATCTGGTGAAATGTAATCTTTGGGTCTAGGCTGCTTATCTCTATATCTGACGATGGATATTAACGAATATATTCCATTTAATTACGTTCTTATAAATTCTATGGTTTTGATTATCAAGTAGACCCTGTGATGGAATTTGACATTTTAACAGAGTCAAGTATCTGGTGCCTGATTAATTTTTCACTTTCAATCAAACGGTTGATTTTTGTGCTATTTTCAAGAGAAAATGTGGGCATCACAATTCATTGACGAGTGATGATCATATAAAATAGATCAGCTCTTTGAGATAATGAATAACATCATCATTTTCAGATTAATTTTGGTAGCGTCGATATTATTTCTGGTTGTTTTATTTTCAACGTATTTTATAAAAAAATGCAGGCCTACAGAACATTTACGTATCGGTCTACCCTTTCTTTCGTAGATGTACCAATTAGGATTATAAGAATCTATTCGTCAATGTAGCTTTTGGGCTAGTACTTTCATAAAGTGACGATTTGGTGCTTAGTTTATATCAATAAAATAAATATGGAATATATTTAGCTCAGTAAGTATATTCACTTTTCGATACTATGAAATTAAATTAGAGCTGTTTTAATAGAATATAATTATTTCAGTTTCGCCATATTTTACACGTACGCTTCTGAATTTAGAAATTCAAGCCATCATAGTTGATCCATGGTAAGGCTAATTATATCAAATCACACACGAGTTTAAAAGTTTGAATGGCTTATAAGAGATAGAACTCAACCCGGAAACGCAATGGTGGTGAATTGGAATTTCCAGGATTCGTAGATTCACTAATATTTATCTGTGAACACAAACACATATTAACGTTAGAAGTAATATCACTGCAAAACTGGGTCAATGTCGGACGCTGTGAATCAAGTATTTACTACAGGTTTACTATGGAATAAACATTTATAGTGGTGTGTTTAGAAAATCTCTAAGATACTAACTGTGAACATAAAATATGGCAGAAGAGTCTGAATTTATTATGATGAATTTGTATCTGAAGAGGAGCCAGATGTGATTGAACATCGTGATCAGATCGGAACATCCCAGAGCCCCTTCCCGGGGTTGTGTTTGCTCTACGGCGGCCGTAGCTTCACAAAATCGATGTAGAAAATCTTCATCGTACCGCTCATCCCAATATTTCATGCTGCATATTTCTTTCGATTTTGGGATGCTACGACCGCCTGTACGAAAGGTTGCCGTAGATCAAATGTGACTGAGGCATTAGTGCAGTAAAATATGCTCCACTCGAACGCTAATGAGACCAGCCAGTTTGGTTTAGCAAGTGTCCACATTTCCCTTTAAAATGGAAGTCGCTGGGAGATAACAAAATTGGACGGAGAAAAAGTGTTCACAGTGATACATGCTCATAATTCAGAAATATAGCTTATACTTTTTAGTGTATATATATTGTAATATTGTGACAATCTTTTAAAAAATTATTGTCAGCTTTTATATAGACTACATTGTTATAGATCTAAGAAACAAAAGTAGATAAGTTCGTCGTTTTATATTACTGTTTATTTTTACACATGCAGTTGCAATGGAAAACTCACAAACTACAGGACCAACCAGCAATACCATGGTAAAATATCTTGTCAAAATGTTGTACACTTTTAGATTAGATTTGCTCCTGTAATATGTTCTTCTAAATAAGATTTTCATTATAAAAATATTTGTAACCCATAAGCAAGAGACTGTATAGTTGACTGCAATTATAATTGAATTTCTTTTAAACCATAGTATCGGAGTTTCCTAACTGAAGGCATCACTACTCCAAGGTTATTCACATGCGCGTTTACTGCTAAGCCTGTGTGGAGGATGACATCTTTTTAAACCAAAATATGAAAAATTTAGAAAATCTAAGACAAACTTGTCACTCGCTTGAAGTGCCATCTTTACAATCTTATATGTATTAACAGATTTACCCATCCATGCAAACAACGAATGTAGATCAACTGCCATGGTTCATGGCACAATATAATTTGGGTAGAAATAATTCCTTGACCTGACCCTATTTCTAATTATGATGTACATATATATTTCCCCTCCTGGTGATGGGGATAAACATTGCCTTAATGTAGAAGCTATTGCACCATCTCTTAATGAGAACAACTCAAATTTGACCCTCATGTGGTATTATAAAAGGAGATGGTCATATTAAATAATAACAGGTTCACCTTTTATTATGCATAATACATTCATGGTTAGGCATTTTATATCACTTTTTCAAAAGAATTAGAATTTCTACTCCAAGGCAATATTCTTCCCATCTTAAAATGTTATTTATAATACAAAAAACTTTACAACTGTAGTAATTGTACTCTACAGATATATACATAAAATACACTAATGACGAATTTACTAAAATTAAAAAAGTATGAAATTATTTATTTGAAACTTTTCTAAGAGTTAACTTGGTAACAGCAATGCCAAGAAGTAGCAAATCATATTGGATGTTTTGTGGGTGGCAAATGTGACTACCAGTCATCATTTCTCAAAATGAACACAAAATTGGACAAATTTTCAAAAGATAATGTTCTTCACAAATAAGTTTTGACAACACACATATATTATAAAATGTCCACCATTTTGTCAAAAGCTTCCAAGCATTATTCATTAAATATTTTCTTTTTTGCAGAACTTGTCATCCTCTACATAACATGGCACGTGCATATAAATATTGGGGCAACAATATTTGATTATATTAGCCCATATACAGACAAATGTGTCCCTATATCCCATTTGTCTGATGGGACATATATGGTATAGTCAAAGGAAATTGCACCATGTTTTAGTTGAAGTCCCACATTTTCCTTTGATAAAAACATGCTTTATAATGGATGACAAGCTCTCTAATTCTAATTGACTTTTAAAGGGGTATTCCTTGCCAGACAATTTCTTAGCAAAACATGGAAAATTTTTTTGATATAGACAGAATTGATCATGTAAAAATGTAGAACTCATTTCAAATAAGCTGCTATCTTTCAAGAAGTTACAAAGGAAGTGATGCCATGGACTCTTAACTTAGCAAATACATCTCTACATACTGTACCATTTGATGAGGAGTTATAAGAAGGACAAAACCAGCTGAATATTCTTTGTCAATTTCAAATTGACAAGCACTGAATATATTTTTGCAAAGAAAGTAAGAACCGCTTGTCTAGAGGTGATTCTATGGTACTTTCCTTTATATTTATGGGCAAGTTCATGAAGAGTTGATGACATCACTTCCTGTGTGAAACCTTAAAAGATGAAAGCCTATTGGAAAAAATGAGCAATACATCTTTAGAAATGATCAATATTGTCCATATTAAAACATTTCCTATGTTTTGTTAAATATGGAAATAATGCAGGAGAGATATGGTCTGGCAAGGAATATCCCTTTAATAATATACAGGAAAAATAAATATAGACGTTTACAAAAAATGACAAAATATAAACCTATTTGTCTACAGTTTAAACTAAAACTCTTCTCTTTCTGTACAATCTGATAAAATTCTAATAAATAAGTCTGATAATTGAAGTATATACATTTTCTGTACAATAAAAATATGAAAAATGAATATGTACAAATGTAACAAACATTAAACTAACTGCCAATGGAAGAAATTAAAAAAAATATGAATCATTAATTGTTTTGGCTGATGATGGAAGTTTAGTGAAAAATGATTAAACATTGCACCTTTTGTCATTTATGATAAGTATGGCTTGAACAACATTCAGCAATGTTGGAAAGGAACTTATAAAAGGCATTATTATTATGCTAATGGATAGTGTCCTCTACATGCAGATTTTTGACATTTCTACAATTAAATTAGATGTTATTAACTTCCATTCTATTTAGCTGATATTCCAAAGTTTCCTTTCTCTCTCTTAGTGAAGACCTATATGCTAAGGTTAGGGCATTAACTTTGTCCTGTGTTGCTCTCCACTTAGCGAACCCAGCATGATTTTGTAGAAATATCACGACAGTGCCATGACTTGCCAAATATGTGCTTTCTCTGAAATGTTCAGACATAATTTCAAACTATACATTGTGTATAAAATGTTTTGACAACTTTTTTACCTGTAAGGTCACTTTTTGTGAGCTTAACAGGAAAAAACAAGACATTAACATGCAAAATGTCACCACCTGCCATTTGTTACAGATGATGAACTTCAAGCACTGTCCACAAAAAAGACTAAAAAAGACTATTACAATATGTCACCACTTGTATAACAATATGTCACCACTTGTATAACAATATGTCACCACTTGTGTTGGTGACATAACAAAGAAGTCTTTAATACAAGTTTTATGTAATAGTGCATTGATGAACAATTCCTAGCTTATTACTGGTAAGCATGTGTGAACACAAAAATATGAAGGATACTTAGTAAATCCTAAGAAACCTTTGGGCACATAAAGTGATGACATCACAAATAGAAGTCCTCTATTAATATATGTATTTAAGTATCAAAAGATATATGTGACTTCATATGAAACACATATTCAAGAATGCTAGTGTTCTGTTTATGATGTCATTTATCAAACTTTACTCAAAGTTACACTCTTAGTGTCTTTAACAAAAATCTTTCATTATTCTGCGCATCATTTAATATCAATAAATGTTCTTGGATAAACAATGTGCACTTAGGGCATTCACCTTTCTCCAAGTACATGTATGTGTTATCCTAACTAAAGACATGTGTGGAATATGGTATATGACTGGTAGATCTATGGGTATTGCTATGTACAAGCATGTTTACATACAGATGTAAGCTATAAGTACACCGCACTGATAACCATAAGGAACTGATCTCTATAAAGGGATACTCTCTGTCTCAGCTCACTGAATCCTTGGGTCTATATGCTAGAATTAAGTCTTTCACTTTCTCTTGAGTTGGTCCCCACCTGGCATACCCTGCGTCATTTTGTAGAAAAATCACCAATGTACCGTGACTTGATTTAATGTCCATGTCATCTCTGAAATTATTGTTACATTATAAGAAAGCTATCAAGTGAAAGCATCTATAAGCTGAAATAGTCAAAAGAAACTACATATTATTACATTATGAACTTCTATATATTAACTTTTATGAAATAACTTCTATAAGGCTTTCACCAAAGTAAATTTTGTGGAAAGTTATGTCTTGACATCTAATAATATAAATCTATATCTATCTGTATTTCATACTTGAGTGGGTTTGGGGTAGATATCACCCGGGAATATATATCATATCTGAGGAGCGGACAGGATACATTGTATATGTCCCGCTCTAGGCCAAATGCGGGCAGATATAATATATCCATCCCGCTCCCGGGAATTTTTTCAAAAGTTTAAAAAAGTTTAAAAATTTTAAAAATTTAAATTTCAGAAGTTTAAAATTTTTCAAAAAGTTTAAATGTTACAATTCTATTGTATTGAACTGAAGGAATATTATGAAAATGTTAAATATAAATTGTGCTTTTACATTATAGGCCTATCTTGTCATTTGAAAAAGGTGGTAAAGGTTATATCTACCCCAAACCCACTCAAGTATGAGATACACCAGTTAGGTACGGTCGGTTTTGGATACAGGGTTTATCCCACGGGGAATATGTGTATCTCCCTCGGTCCCTGCGGTCCCTCGGGAGATACACATATTTCCCTTGGGATAAACCCTGTATCCAAAACCTCCCAGTACATAACCCTTATATATCTATCTAAAATGGTTATATGTGAAATGAGTAAGCTTAGATTGTGATTGGGGTGAGTGTGAGTTAATTGGTTGTTCCAAGAAGGGGTGAGTAGGTGGGTTAAGGTGGGGTGAGTAGGTGGAGGTGAGTGGGTGAAGGTGGGGCAGGGGTGAATTGGGTTGGTAGAGGTTGGAGAGAACAGGTGGGTAGAGGAGGGGGTGATTAGGTGGGTGGAGGAGGGGGTGATTAGGTGGGTGGAGATGAGTGAATGTGGGGCAGGGGTGAATTAGGTTGGTAGAGGTTTGAGAAAATTTGCAGGTGGGTGGGTGGATGAGGGGGTAATTAGGTGGGTGGAGGTTATGAGGTGGGTTGAGTAGGTGGGTGGAGTTGATTAGGTGGGGGAAGGTGGGTTGAGTAGGTGGGTGCAGAAGAAGTGAGTAGCTCCCATAATTCTTTCATATTCTATCGTATTCGGGGATTCCCCATTTTCCGATCTCCAATCAAATAGACTTAATAAGCGATAGACGAAAACATGGTCATTAACATAAATATCTCCCGCAATGCATCACTTCAAGTGGGACAAATTTTCATTGGTCCGTTGATTAAGTGGGGGAGAATACGTTGATGGAGCTGGGGGAGAATGGGTTGATGGGGCTGGGGGGAGAATATGTTGGTGGATGTGGGGGAGAATAGGTTGATGGAGCTGGGGGAGAATAGGTTGGTGGAAGTGGGGGAGAGTAACTTACTTAGAACACTGGTGTTGGAAGCCATGTCTGTATTCATGCTCATATGGCTTGATCACAACTTGCTTTTTGTTGAACCTGGAGAAGAGACAAATTGAAATACTAGATGATTTGCTATTGTATCCACTCAATTACTCAGACAATTAAAACATTAAATTAATTAAAACTCGATTATTCAAACATCACACTACTATACCTTGCATTTGGTGTTCATGAGCAACCCATTTGGCTTATTACTAATGATTATGTATTTGTTTTTATTTGTCTGTTCCTTATGAATGGTTTATCGGTTGAAAATTAGATGCTAGTAAGGCACTTTCAAAAATATATTAAACAATTCAATTAGACAAACAAAGTATCTTATGCATTTCTAGGTGTTAGGTATAGTAGTGTGAACATGGCGTTATGCTTCAAACATGATTTGATCACTATGGATACTTAATTTGGATCCCATTTTAATTTGATGGATTGGCAGATTCAGAAAATCCACCAAATTAAAAATCTGTCTTTCAGTTTGGAATTTTTGTCCAATGCACTTCAGAAATTAAACTTATGGTCCCCCTTTTCGAGTCAACAAGTCATCAATTCTACATTATTCCAAAAGAAATACAGAAAATATCTCAGTAAATACCTATCCTAATGACATAAACATTGACAAAAATTAAACTTCAGTCCTGAATCCGCCAAATCAAATAGCTGCCAATATTTGTAATTGAGCAAATCCGTCAAATTAAGTTACATCAAAATAAGTGTATCTACAGCATTCAAACATGGCCTCAGTCTTGGAACAATATTGACTTATTTATACTTGAAACATGACACAGTTATGTTTTATAATGCTATTATTCAATTCACTTGATCTTATATTTTGATCCCTATTTTTGCATCTGAAAGTAAAAAGTCCTTCCCTAATAGAAAAAAATTGACAATCTTTTCACATTCAAATGTTTTTTAAATGTTAACCAAGAGCTTTGAAACCTCTTTATTATATATCTTGAAAATAACTATGTAACTTATTAACTCTGAATAAAAATGTACATGACGGACCTGCTTGATTCAAGCCTAATAAGGGCCTCTGTGGGCGGATCTCTCCAGTCAGGGATGAACACTATAAAAGAAAGAGGTTCCTGGGACTCTGCTAGAAGATTTTCAAAATGGTCACACATGGTCTCCATCAGTTCTTCACAGAATGGTGGGTTGGCTTCAAAAGACCCACTCACCGGTTGGAAATCTAACAGGGGTCTACAATAACAAATGATTTTCCACTTTACAGAGGCAGATTCATGGACATGAGGTGACATAAAAATTGGAATTTAAAAACTGGAGACAAATATATTTAGTAAGGTCTTATATTTCAATCTAAAACATGGAAATACAGAAATAGGCAAATACTAGAAATATTTCACAAAACTTTGATACAAAAATGGCAATTTTAAGACACTCACCCCCTAGAGCCAAAGTAACCATCTGTGTCAGCAAATGCTGAACAGTATTGCTTGAAGTAACAGTTGAGGGGTGAGGCAAAGCACTCAAAGGTGACACCAAACTGCCTGTTGAGACACTCAAACACAGGCACAGGCAGGGCTCCTTGCATCCCAAAACCTTCCTTGGGTTGTAGACCAAAGAGTGTCTAAAATACAAATTGCACACTTAAAGGGTTCCGATAAGCTACCTGTATAAAAACAATATGGCAGCTCCAGGCGAGTCAACTGGATCAGTCCATTTTTAAGAAATAAGGGGAGTTTTGTAAAATCCAGTGTATTGAAATTGTCTTGGTGATAAAGTAATCTGAAAACGTTATTGAGAGAGTGATTGTTCAAAGAACGCATGTACAACAACCCATATGAATCCTTGTATTAGAACTGCTTTGTTTCATTTGGAGAATATTTCATATGCAAAGCTGTGTGCCAATATATTATGGGGAAATTTTAGATGTCAGTTTTTCCTTATACACAAATAGAAGATCCTGAAACTTGATTTGATTTGATTTGTCAAAATAAAACCCCTCTTTTATAAATGTGTGACTATCTATTATATGCTAATGCTATATAACAGTGAGCACCACCAGAAACGAGCGTTCGATTTGCTAAATTATATGCGTCACCCTTTAAGTTTGACATACACAAGCTTTACATGGAATGGACTGGCATGATTAAGCTATTCATCAGAGCCAATATTCAATTCAATTCTTATATGATAAGCAATCCAGAGAAACATTATTGCATTTATGACATTTAGATACTAGATTATAGACCAGTAAATCAATTGTTCCCGCTACTGTAGTATTAAACATATACTGCATATTGAGCCCTGTGAACTTATCAATTGCACATTAAGATAACAGAACAAGAAACTGTTGAACCATCTTTGATCCCATGATTGTAGTTTCGACTTTTACAGTAAAATGTTGAATATAGAACAAGAAAACATAGTCCATCAATAGCAAAGCCAGATTCAAACACAATCCCAGAAATAACTGTCTGTAATATTCTACCTGCTTTGTTTCTCTGTTGTATATTTCATGTTTTTTCTCAACACAGTGATTGAAGGACCTACTTTTCTGACAATTTCATTTAATCCAAATTGTTAACTACATGTCTACATCATTCCCCAAGTCCCTCACTTCCACGATCTCTAGTTTTCCACAAACATAAAGTTCATCTGCAATTCTTACTTGGTATCTTCTCAGCACACACCAAGTTCTTGCTAGGAAGAACTCAAACTTTGGATCATCCTTACAGTTCCACCTATACAGCTGTTCCTACAACAATCATTTTACATTATGATTGTTATTCTGGACTTCTTTTAAATACTACAAAATGTCCTTTCTTGGGAAACACTGAGAAATAGAGCAGTTTTCTGACAAGCTATTCAGTGGTCCATCACTTAGTTCATGTCATACGTAGAAAGAACTGAACTGCCTTGAGTTTGTGACACCTAATGATCTGCTGTTAAAGGTTTGTTCAGTCGAAATGATAATTCCACACAAACTGGAGGGATTAACTTAACAATTCATTTTTCTTAAAGGATGTCCATTCAAAAATTACTTGCAATATTTTCATCTCTTTATGATGTATTACTCAAGATATACACTTACCATTTTTTGAAAGTGGACTGTGTTTATTTTTAAAGCTTCTCCTCGAACGCGAATAAATGTCACATCGCCTTCTGTTTTGAGATCAGGGGTTGAGACCCTAGGGCATGGAGTGGCAAGGAGGACAGGGTAACACATCACCTTTCTCTTTGGTGGGGTCTCAACAGGGGGCTCTGCAATAGACAACCAAATGTATAGTAGAACATGGGTAATTTAACATTTTCAGACAGGGCTTTGTATTTTTACTGATATATACTGATTTTAAAGTAACAAACGCTTATAATGATTCAAACCTTTTATGAAATGCTCCTTTAAAATTCCCCAATGTTTTTCTAGTATTTTTTTGACGTATTCTTGAGAGAGGTGATATATTTTACTGCAAATTCCCTCAACTGATGCCTTGGCTGCTTCTGTGAGGTGGGGCTGACACTGGCGCTTCAGGTGTGCTAGACGTTCCTGGAATACAAATAGATAACAAACTCTGAGTTCATTACCCTCTCACTCTGGGGTTCTTTATAGACTCTAATAATTAAAACAAGCCAATTTTTCCTGTCTTTTCCTCATTTTCAGGGAGGTTCAAACAGGATTTTGAGTAGTTGAAAACACCTTATGAGTCATCACATGAAGGGCTCTGCATTTAAGGTACTAATAAGGTAGTCAGTCATAACATGAAGGGTTCTGCATTTAAGATACTTATAAGGTAGTCAGTCATAACATGAATGGTTCTGCATTTAAGGTACTTATAAGGTAGTCAGTCATAACATGAAGGGTTCTGCATTTAAGGAACTTATAAGGTAGTCAGTCATAACATGAAGGGTTCTGCATTTAAGGTACTTATAAGGTAGTCAGTCATAACATGAAGGATCTGCATTTAAGGTACTTATAAGGAAGTCAGTCATAACATGAAGGGTTCTGCATTTAAGGTACTTATATGGTAGTCAGTCATAACATGAAGGATCTGCATTTAAGGTACTTTTAAGGAAGTCAGTCATAACATGAAGGGTTCTGCATTTAAGGTACTTATATGGTAGTCAGTCATAACATGAAGGGTTCTGCATTTAAGGTACTTATAAGGTAGTCAGTCATAACATGAATGGTTCTGCATTTAAGGTACTTATAAGGTAGTCAGTCATAACATTAAGGGTTCTGCATTTAAGGTACTTATAAGGTAGTCAGTCATAACATGAAGGGTTCTGCATTTAAGGTACTTATAAGGTAGTCAGTCATAACATGAAGGATCTGCATTTAAGGTTCTAAAAAGGAAGTCAGTCATAACATGAATGGTTCTGCATTTAAGGTATTAATAAGGTAGTCAGTCATAACATGAAGGGTTCTGCATTTAAGGTACTTATAAGGTAGTGAGTCATAACATGAAGGATCTGCATTTAAGGTACTTATAAGGTAGTCAGTCATAACATGAAGGATCTGCATTTAAGGTACTTATAAGGAAGTCAGTCATAACATGAATGGTTCTGCATTTAAGGTACTTATAAGGTAGTCAGTCATAACATGAAGGATCAGCATTTAAGGTACTTATAAGGAAGTCAGTCATAACATGAATGGTTCTGCATTTAAGGTACTTATAAGGTAGTCAGTCATAACATGAAGGATCTGCATTTAAGGTACTTATAAGGAAGTCAGTCATAACATGAATGGTTCTGCATTTAATGTAATGTACTTATAAGGTAGTCAGTCATCACATGAAGGGCTCTGCATTTAAGGTACTTATATGGTAGTCAGTCATAACATGAAGGGTTCTGCATTTAAGGTACTTATAAGGTAGTCAGTCATAACATGAAGGGATCTGCATTTAAGGTACTTATAAGGTAGTCAGTCATAACATGAAGGATCTGCATTTAAGGTGCTTATAAGGAAGTCAGTCATAATATGAATGGTTCTGCATTTAAGGTACTTATAAGGTAGTCAATCATAACATGAAGGATCTGTATTTAAGGTACTTATAAGGAAGTCAGTCATAACATGAATGGTTCTGCATTTAAGGTACTTAAAAGGTAGTCAGTCATAACATGAATGGTTCTGCATTTAAGGTACTTATAAGGTAGTCAGTCATAACATGAAGGGTTCTGCATTTAAGGTACTTATAAGGTAGTCAGTCATAACATGAAGGACTCTGCATTTAAGGTACTAATAAGGTAGTCAGTCATCACATGAAGAGATCTGCATTTAAGGTACTTATAAGGTAGTCAGTCATAACATGAAGGACTCTGCATTTAAGGTACTAATAAGGTAGTCAGTCATTACATGAAGGGTTCTGCATTTAAGATACTTATAAGGTAGTCAGTCATAACATGAAGGGATCTGCATTTAAGGTACTTATAAGGAAGTCAGTCATAACATGAAGGACTCTCCATTTAAGGTACTAATAAGGTAGTCAGTCATTACATGAAGGGTTCTGCATTTAAGATACTTATAAGGTAGTCAGTCATAACATGAAGGGATCTGCATTGAAGGTACTTATAAGGAAGTCAGTCATAACATGAAGGACTCTGCATTTAAGGTACTAATAAGGTAGTCAGTCATTACATGAAGGGATCTGCATTTAAGGTACTTATAAGGAAGTCAGTCATAACATGAAGGACTCTGCATTTAAGGTACTAATAAGGTAGTCAGTCATTACATGAAGGGATCTGCATTTAAGGTACTTATAAGGTAGTCAGTCATAACTTGAAAGATCTGCATTTAAGGTGCTTATAAGGAAGTCAGTCATAATATGAATGGTTCTGCATTTAAGGTACTTATAAGGTAGTCAGTCATAACATGAAGGATCTGCATTTAAGGTACTTATAAGGAAGTCAGTCATAACATGAAGGGTTCTGCATTTAAGGTACTTATAAGGTAGTCAGTCATAACATGAAGGATCTGCATTTAAGGTGCTTATAAGGAAGTCAGTCATAATATGAATGGTTCTGCATTTAAGGTACTAATAAGGTAGTCAGTCATTACATGAAGGGATCTGCATTTAAGGTACTTATAAGGTAGTCAGTCATAACATGAAGGGATCTGCATTTAAGGTGCTTATAAGGAAGTCAGTCATAATATGAATGGTTCTGCATTTAAGGTACTAATAAGGTAGTCAGTCATTACATGAAGGGATCTGCATTTAAGGTACTAATAAGGTAGTCAGTCATTACATGAAGGGATCTGCATTTAAGGTACTTATAAGGTGATCAGTCATAACATGAATGGTTCTGCATTTGAGACAATAAGGAGGTAGTCATCATATGAAGTACGGGTGAGTCGGGCAGCCCTTGGGTCGGGCTTGCTCAGGCCAGGTCAAATTAGTTCGGGCCACAAATCGGGCCGCACTTTTAATGTTAGTTTTGTTGTTGAAATATACTCATACAATTGAAGAAATAGTTAAATAATTTTGATTCCAGAATCTTGTTCAATCAATCATGTTTTGATGATTTTCGTGCTTCATGGATTGCTAATAAATAATAATTCATAATCAATTAATTAACATCAATGGAAACTTGCACATATGAACTGAATGTTAGTGGTAAACAATAATGTAGGCTGATGTTCCAAATGCAATTTTATTTAATATGAAGAGTCCTATGTTTGAGTTACTTACGAGGTAGTCATCATATGATGGGTTCTGCATTTTTCGTAGCCACTGAAATGTGTCTTCTGCATTCCACTTTACAATTTTTCTACTTTCAGCAGACACAGACCTGAAACAAGACAATGATGAATAGAATTAAACAAGGCATTAACATTGACAAAATGACACCACCAAGTTTCTCACAATATTATTAGTTCAATCTTAAGTCAGATTTGAATTTCTGAGAACTTGTAGATGATTTTGAAAAAAATTAGTCAATTTGAAGCAAGTTGAAAAAATACCTTTTTGACCTTGAGAATGACCTTGAAAATTGAAGGTCAAATTTATAGTCAGATTTGAAGTTTTGAGAACTTGTAGATGATTTTGAAAAAAGAAACTGGTCAATTTGAAGCAAGTTAAAAAAATACAATTTTGACTTTTTTTGACTCACAGAAGGTCGAATCTAAAATCTAAAGTCAGATTTGAACTTCTGATAACTTGTAGATGATTTTGAGAAAAAATTTGGTCAATTTGAAGCAAGTTAAGAATAAAAAGACCTTTTTTAACCTTTTTGACCTTCGTTGAAAGTCAAATTTTAAATATAAAGTCAGATTTGAACTTCTGAAAACTTGTAGATGATTTAAAAAAAATTGAAGTCAGTCTGAACAGTATTTGGAACCCTACTATCACACCAAACTAGTTCTCACTACGTTCTCGAAAATGGGCTTAAACTGTGCACGAACGGATTTGACGTACTAAGAACCAACTAAGAACCGTTTGGGATCTGTTTACAAACTTCATGAAACTACTAGAACGAGTAGGTCCTCCAGAACTTAGAGCATGCTCAACATTTTCTGGTGATCATCAAAACGTTGCCGAATCGGTTTTAAACTGTGTGCGAACTGAATGAACGTAGCTACAACTTTCTATGGTCTGTTTACGAACTTCATGGACTTTCCCGGATGGGGTATGTGATTTAGAATTTTGAATCGATTCAAAATTCGATGGCGACCATACCGTTCTGTAATCAGGTCATGATGAACATCTAGACTATGGGACGGTTTATACTACGTTGCACACCGACCTGAACGAACTGCGAACGAGATGGACGTATTGAAGACTGTTTATGAACGAAGTAGCTAATTATTTTAGACATATATCCTGACCGCAGCCAGATCGAGCCCGTTTACGACATTTTCGTAGGACTGGCAAGAACGGGTAAGAACTAGTTTGGTGTGATAGGGGGGTTAAGTTATAAGTTAAGTTGTAAGAATTTGTTACAGACACCAACAACCAACCGCCACCCGCCGATCACCAACCGCCGCCACAAAAAACGGAGACTATAACACTATGTCACCACTTTTTGGTGGTGACAAAAATTATACCTAAATTATTTTTGTCCAAATAACATTAGGGCTAAGCTAAATACAGTATTTAAGCATTATAGATTCTATTAAGTGTTAATATTTTGAATGGTCTTGTTCATATCTGAGACAATCCTTTATCCTGTCTAAGCCAGCCAAGACTGTTGTTATAAGGCTTAGCTATGTTCAGATTTTAAATTACTAAAGACAGCAGTAATGAATTCTAACCTGCTGTCCACCATTGATTTAGCTGCCTCTGCATACTTTGACAACTGTCTTCTAGCATCAGCTGAGTACTTGGGCTTGATCAGTTTCACTGGTATATCATTGATTATTTCTCGATACATGGATTGCGAGATTTCTGGAGTACAGTCGCTAGGTAACATAGGGTCAGGACCCCTGTTAATAACATTGCGCTCTAAGAGCCATCTATTGAAGGATTCCTTCGGTGCATCTATACCTGGAGAAAAACAAAAGGAACATTTGATTATTTTTGGGCCAGCTGACAAACTATGTTGTACCCAGTTGAACATTTTCCATATCACATAAAAAATTTTAAAGCCCCCATAAAAAGTTTGAACCACTTTGGCTTATGTAATAGGCTTTTTGAAGAACTTTTTACTCGAAAAATCATGAATTTATTTAAACTAATTTTTAGAGGTCACACAGACTTTTAATAAGCCATACTTCACACCAATGCATAGCATACATCCTAAGCTGTTTTTCCCAAAGAAATTAAGAAAATTTATTGATAAACAAGTGAGAAATGAACTCATCCATGCATGAAAGCGGTTCATATTGTATTGTTTGAGGTAAATTGAATGTGGGTATAAGGAAATACAACAAACCTTCCCTAGAATGACACATTTCCTGGTAACTCTGGCGTAATTTAGTGACAAGTTGTGACCTGTAGACCTCCATCTCTGGATGAGGTGGGAGCACGCGGGACATCTGCCTCTCGTATATGATTACGTTTGTTGGAATTTCAAAGTTCCAGAAAGGCCTATAAAACATAGCAATATACAATCATTTTTTATTCCTATGGGAGATTTATCTAATTTGCTGTATGAGTGCATCTCTTGGATGATCCTTTTTTGTGCCTTACCCTTACTCAAAAGTTCCATAAAAAATCATAATCAATATTGTTTCACTACAATGTCTATTTTATACCTAAATACACCTCTAATATTCTAGTACAGCTTTAGCATTTGCTTGAGTAGCCAAAAAGGAAAACTTTTTTTACTAACTTTTATATCACTGAAATGAAAAAGCAGAACTTTTTTAACAACTTACTAATATCATTGAAATATAAAAAGTAAAAAATCTTCAAGCCTTTCTCCGAGGATGGCAAGAATTGTACATAATATTTAAGTTCAAACTTTCTGGGATTATTGCATTTTGGCACCAAGTTGTATCCAATCATACTTTTTGTGAACTATAGTTGATGTTAGGATTATTTTCATGTATCGATAAAAGCGCAATGTTACAATGATGTTGGATTTGCCACATGCAGAGATGAACAGAGAAGATTTTCCAAAAAATATCCCTGAAAATTTGAAATCTGTCAAATGGTATGCCTGAAAACAAGTAGACAAGATTAAGTGGGACGCTCACTTATCCCTGATATAAATACCTTTAATGTCCCATAAGTACTATAAATTCCTGACATGAATACATTACCCATAATGTCTCATATATTATAAATCCCTGATATGATTACAGTACTCATAATGTCCTATATAAGTCTCTAATAGGAATACAGGACCCATAATGTCCCATATACTTTAAATCCCTGATATGAATACAGTACCCATAATGTCCCATATTCTATAAATCCCTGATATGAATACAGTACCCATAATATCCAATATGATATACTTTACACGTATAAAGTAAACATTAAATGCAATAGTGCTCTCCCCAGAATACAGTACCCATTTGTATAAAGTAAACGCTTAGTAATACTGCTCTCCAGGAAAAATTTTGCTATCTTTAAGTGAAACATTGAGAATTTTGAAATTAGAATATTGCAGTGTTACATTATATGGCTCACACTGAATTATTTGAGGAACATTTTGGTTTTATGAATAAATTGGAGGTGCTGCGCCATTTGAATGTGGAGAGAACACGACTGTATAAATTTGTAAATCGATCTACAATCCTTACTTTTCTTCATTAACATCCAACATGTAACCATCAAAACCAACATATCATATATTTGCATGCAGAAATATCATATGGTTCATTAAAAATATACTCAACTTAAATACTGTGAAGTGTATCTAGAAATATTAAAACATTGGCAATTAATTAGGTGCCTGTAGTTAATTACCAGTTTCAACACCAGGTGGATGATTAGGGTCAGATTACATTGCAGTACATGTACATTGCAGTAAACTTTAATTTAAAATTAATTGATTTTTAGTGGATCAATTCTCATCTTATCTTTTAGGCGTTAACAATTATATCATTTAAAATGTGTTCGATATTATAAAAAGTGTTATCTCAATACAATTAAAGATATTTCACTTTTAGTGATTTTATAACATGGGCTCCATTGAGATATCACACTTTCAACAAAAATTAAATCATCATAAAAGTTCATAAAACCACATTTATAGAGATGTAAAATTTGTGCCTAACAAATACAAGTTGACAATAACAATTGAATGACATTGACTCACCCTATACTCTGGGATGATTTCTTCATTGGACTACCTAACATTTCTTGACTACTTCTTCGCTTTTCCCCTACCCTGGGTGAAGGGATATCTGTGCTTAATCTGGACATTCTCACATCACTTTGATGGGGGTTGGGGCCAGAACCTGGACCTGATATACCCAGGGGATCTGATAATGGGTCATGCTGAAATAACACAGTGTTTCATAATAGTGTCATTAAGCTGGGAATGGGAGACACACACTTATGCCAACTGAGCATACAGAAAGCAATATATGTTTTATTGTCATAGAGTTTGGATATCCTATCGATACAAAATATTTATGTATCAAAATAGATTTTTTTCTCAATTTGATGTTGAACTGCTTCAATGCCGAGGAAACCACTCTTTTATCATAAAGATTAAAGGTCAAATACTGTTTCTCTCTAATAAATGTACAGTGCAGCTCCCAAATTCTCCTGGGGGAGATTAATATATGGGCGATGGTATTTCATGATTTTCCTCTTTAAAAGTGGACTCAAATGTTTTCCTCATGCATTAATCGTTTGACTGTGTTTTTGTGGGTAAATCAACATACTCAATATGTGTCAATATTGATGAAAACTAGAAGGTTATCATAAACATGAACGCACAGAAATGACCCAACAGCGGTAAGTGAATTAATGGAATTTACCCTATTATCACCCAATTATTGTTTTCAAGTTTTTAATTTTCTTGATTTTTGTTACTCAAGTTGCAAGTCTTTCAAGGAAAAGTCGGGTGTGCGTTCATTAGAGTATGAGCACCTATTAGAGAGAATATGGTAAATATCATCATCAAAACCCTAAAAAAGAGCTCATCAAGTCACCATTTAACACCTACCCCTAGTGAGGGAATATCCCAGGAATTGGTATTTGTGACTTTGTTAAAATAATAAGGCCGGTTTTCACGTTTACTCCAGAACTTCCTCCAACCTGCTTGTAGAAGCTCTATTGGGAGATCATGCATTGGATTTGGTGACTGGGGTGGAGACATTGGAGACACAGGGCTAGGAGTGTTAATCTCAGCCACTGATGACATCTGACCATGGTGTGAGTTGTTCCGTCTTGAATGATCTGTAGAGCTGGTAATCACTGTATCACCCATCTTGGATGTGAATCAGCTTCTGACTGAAATTGTAATAATGTAGTCTCTAGAAACCTAGTGTTTTTTCAGCTCAAACACGTGATAAATACATTATGCATATGCTGGTATTAAGCCTTGGAGACACTCATTTTGGTAAATATGATTTAGGGTGTATACTTTTCTGCGTTTGTGGGAGTTTGGGACATTAAATGTTAAAATTCAAGAAAATATGCCAATTATACGACTTTGTGAAGTGGTTTTCTCCAACTTCCAGCAGGTGCGCTGGAATAAGAAACGGTATTGAAGAAGATAATTGAATGTAACTTGCCCTTTTCATGACGCGTGGTGACAATATAAGTCCTACTTTTGGTGTAATTGCAGTTAAAGTGGAGAAATTCCAGAACTGACGCGCACCATTTTTTTAACTTTTTGTGCATGCATGCACATGTGCATTGTACTTTTTATGCGCATGGGTATTACCGCTGAAAGATTACGAGACTGTTCATATTTAGCCAACGCGAGTTATTTTGTAGCAAATTTTTACTTTCGAAAATGGCTGGAATCTAAATTCAAAAGTTTTGTTGTCTCATAGAACATTGATTTACTACAACAACAGACTGTTGGAGGAACAAAATAAGGTGACAACAAATAAATTTTGTATTGATTCAAATATATAGCGTATTATAAAGGCTACTCAGCACAGCGTTTAGTCAAAATGGGCTCGATTTACTCTCTTCAAGTACACATACATCCAACTTCCCAGAGCTGACTTCTGTCTAGCCTAGAGTCCATTTCACTGCTTCATTGCGTCAGTAGAACGGCAAAAATAAGAAATTGGGAGACCATTGTGCAATAATATATGGAAAAGTATATTCATAATGTACATGAATGACATTTGTATATTTCCGATTTTTTAGTTTTTTGTGCAATAAGCCTGTGCCGTCTTGTAATTTGAAGAATTTCAGCCATGCTAATCTTATTGAAAATAACATGGCAGAGAAGCATCCAAATATAAGAGGCCACACACTTTATAAGCCAAACTAGAAGCAATCCAAGATATACAAATGTCATTCATGTACAATAGGAATATATTTTTCCATATATTATTGAAAAATGATATTTTGATTTCTTATTTTTTAGCTTTTACTGACGCAGTTAAACAGTGAAATGGACTTTAAATGGCCACAGAATCTACATGTAATATCTAGAAGTTGAACCGGCCCATTTCTCATGTCGACATTAGGCCTACCCCACGCATCGATGTGACAATCCTCTGCCCTAGTCCTGGCACCAGATAAATAGAAAATATTGTAATTCTCTAAATCCGAGCAAAATTATAAACTGCAATTTGACTTGGGGAACAGTGATTTTGAGAATCAGCTTCAGAATTCTTCAATTTGTAAACTTGAAATAATCTACCAAATGCATGGAAAAGGCACGTGATCACATAGAATCAGGATATCCTACCTGTGCACTGGATGTTCATGAAGATGTTTAACTGTCAATTTATAAATATGCAATCCTATTTTCTATGTATAGTTCAAAAACTTGGAACAAATTTTGGGACGCGAAACAAAGCCACGTCCGCCATTGAATGCAATTTTTAGTCTGACGTCACAGCAAATCTGTATTTTGATAGGGTTAGAATCATAAGGAAACCTTGGACTGGCGTGTCATGGAAGTGCGCTAGGACATTACTATTGTTGAATAATTAATAATTTAATAACAATTTATCAGGAGTATTTAGCATAATTTTGTAATTCATTCTCACGATGAATATGATTTTTCAAATAATTCGAATTAATCATAGACATTTCAATGTTTATAACATGATACAAATTTGAGTATCATAATATTACTAATATTTACAATAACAGTTCTATCCTAAAACCAGGAAAACAAACTTTTTAGTGTTGTACATAAATAGATCTATATTTATTTCCCTGCCTAACCAAAATAATAGCAACATTACAGTACCTGCAGTCATACAGATGGATATATATACTTCATAAAGTGAGTTTATATTAAATTTCTATTGAAATCGATATCATGATACGCCATGACAATGATAGTCTACAGTATGTTACACCCGGATGTTACACTTCTTCAATCAAAGGCAAGCAGTTGAACCTGAAAAATAAGATATCTATAGACCATTGTGCCATGAGCTGTAGCCCTTCAGTACTCGAAGAGTTTACATGAACTTATGTAGTGGTCCACAGTTTCTGGTTTATTACACAGTTCACAGAGGTTTGTTGTACTTGGTTTTATTTTGGCTTGGTGGCTATTGAGTTGGGTATGTCCACTTATGAGCTGGTTGATGATGCAGGAGATTCTGCAGTTTTGGATTTAGAGAGTTAGAATACTGTCTTTGCCATTTGTTTTTGATTGATTGGTGAATTATATTGTATGCTTCGCTTTTGGTAATACTGATGGAATTAAGCTCACACTGTTCTGCCAAACTTGCTGCGCTTTAAATTTACCAGTATGTTCTATGTCATCTCTTGTCCGAGGTTACATCTTGAAACCCAGCTGCCAAATACGAAAGTGAAGGCAACAACCATGGGCTTTCAACTAGATATTGATCTTAGCAGAATTTGTCGAAATTTAGATCGTCCATTTTGCCATTCACCTGTCTGATCACGACATGTCTAGTTACTAGTTGATATCACGCGACTTGTGACATGTCGCTCAACCAATACCATGTCTTCAAAGAAAGATATTGATTTATTAGAAAATGGTTTTCGGACATCTACTGCTGAGTACAGGAGAAAATATTCCAAGGTAGCAATGTCAAATATTGTATAAACTATGAAGGGCTGCTGAAGCTACTGACTATTTAAAATCAACTTTATTCAAGATATTACGCTAGGAAACTTATTGATTTTATGAATCATAAAGACCTGAAATGATGCATTGAAATACACGGGGGTAAAGCAGACCCGATGATGCAATGAGCTTGCTCGGCGGTATCATGACTGTGTAACGGGGCTTAATGTATAAGTGAGCTCAGCGGTAGGTTCAAACAACGCGGATCCTCAAAGCATGTGCTCATGGTATCATCGTGGCTTAACACCCGTGAAATAAGTAAATTAAAACGCTACACATAAAGTGGTAAAAACAACGGACTAAAGTTGAAAGATCGCAACATTCGCTTCTTTGTTCAATTCAGGAAATATAAAAATGGAATTTTTTATTTATATTTTATAACCTCAAAATACTGCCTTTTGTCGTGTTTAGTTGATAAAGGAAAAATGATAGAAACTTAGCAATAATTTGTTAGAGAAGAACTGTAAATTATTTTCTATTCATGATTTAAATGTATACATAAAATGGGTCGGCTAGAAGTTTGAGATTCTTGCTTGGAATTTAGCATTTGATGATAATTAACGATATTACTGAGTGTTCTGATTCGACCTGAATTTGGTAAGTAGTTGCTTGTGACCCAACACCCAGGCCTTCTGATTTGGGTCAGTGTGACATCTCTAGACATGACAGCCTGTTGATAAAGTTGGTAACAAATATAGCCACCAGGTGCCAGTAGGCCAGAAGATGACATCATTCATAGGCAGCTTTTATGCCAATACATACACATTTCAGTAAAAAATGATCATGATCACATAAAACATTTTACTGTTTGAACAACTTAAAGGCATTTTAATTTACATGTATACTTTGCGACTGGGACCTTATTCAAGTTTAATGTTTAGTTTCGCACAAAGAACACATTAACTTGGGGCAAGGGAACAATTTTCTTTGTTTGTTTATATATTAGAACGCAAAACTTGAGCATGTTGAGTTGATCAATTTAAATAGTACATATTCTCGTAATACATAGACTACGTTTGATTTGCTTGAATTTCATAATGGATGGTCGGTTCTTTTATTTCAACAGTAAGTATGAATAAGTACTTTTTACAAAAACGTTTTATTAGTTGTATTGCTGAGGTTAATTTGAGCCTAATGAGGTGCGCTATAGATTTAAGATTGCAAAGTATGCATTTCACAATTTGTTTATCAAAACAAAAATACTGGTCTGGTGTGTAGTTTGATCAAAAGGGGAGTTGAGTTCCAACATCACCCCCCCCCCCCACCCATAGATGATACTATTACATTAGCAAAATCAAAGCTTGAGGTAGTGTTAATAGTGTATGCAGCACTGAGATGTTCAAAGCATCACATAAGCCAAAATGGTATGATTGGTAAATATGTTAAATAGTCTATAGTCTACTATGGGTACCTAGATTGGTGATGTCCAAATTCTCAGGTTCTATTTTCCTCATTTCCTGATCAGAATTTATTTTGGTAACATACAGGGTGATCCAGAAGTAAGATAAAAAATGTTGTTATTTCATTTTATTTATTTTATTGTGCAATGAGTCATAAAACATATACAATATGATTAAAACACCCTAGGCTAACAACGACCTATAGGACGCTATAAAGTAAAATACATGTAGGTCATTTATACGAGAAAGGTTTTGGCATTTGGCCATTCAATGAGTAATTCATTTGTAAAAATGCAGAGATTTGATTTACAACTCTTCTGAACAACTAGTGATCCAGCTCTGACCTTAGGTGGTCATAAAAAGCACAGTCCAAAATAAAATTATTTTAATTCTCCACTGAGCCCATCGTCGCTTTCCACTGGGTCTAGAGACCCCATGGCATAAAAGGTCAATTTGTTTGTCCCATTAATATGTGGCGGTTCATGGCCCGGTGTTAAGTCCACGGACCTTCTACATGAAAGATGTATGTCAGACTTCAAATTAGTCTCAGGGGCTATGTATCTAGTTTAAATGTGCAATATGTCCTTAACTTATTCCTTTGGCTGGGTGGTCGCTGACCATTGTTCCAAATGTTCTTATGTTCTATTTTCAATCAATAGTAGTTATTTCATTCTTCAAAGTGTCAAAAGGTACTGAAAATACTCCTTTTCTTGATACTTGGAACATACGAAGATCTCATAATATCTCTCTATTTTTTTATTCTTAAATATATTCTGATGAATTTTTCACAGAATGTCTGTGTCTAGATTAATACAGTATTCTATACTGCAGATTCTATGAAAATTGCATTAGAATATATTGAAAAATATAAACATTAGAGAGATATTATGAGAACTTTATGGTATACCCTCGTATGTTCCCTATAGTAAAACCTGTGTAAATGGAACACCCTTAGTTCTGCCTAAATATTCTACTTACGTGGTGTTCCATTATTCAGAGGTAATATAATACGCAGATGATTATAAACATCTATTTGTCTGAAGGATACCCCACATGAGGTAGCTAGGCAGCAATGAGATTTTCCTGCCTCTGCTTCCTTGATCAACTACAGTGATCTCTTAACCAGAATCAATTTGTTGAAACAATCATGAAAAAATAGATATATTTTGACTACATCTGGTCTGAATTGTGAAAATTTTGCAGATTCAAAATTGTGGGAAGAACACTGAACTGGTAGCATTGATTGAGTGTTAATCTTTGATTTTGAACTCATGTGTTTCACTGATGTCATGGGGATATTACTGAAAGTGTGATTCTCCTAGCATTGAATACCAATTTTATACAATTGATAATCTGCTTGATTTAACTCAAAAAGACACTGAAGTATCATTCCCGAAAGCAACTGCCAGCTGACCGCTTAACAAATCATACTAATTATTATGATATAATGATTTGTTACTCAGAGGTAATCTGCAAAAATTAAAATACAGGTTGACCCAAAAAAAGGCACTTACACATTATCCTTTAAATAACCCCATATATAGAATCTTCGTATGTTCCAAGTATCAAGAAAAGGAGTATTTTCAGTACCTTTTGACACTTTGAAGAATGAAATAACTACTAGATCAAGACTGTGGGATGACCATGGGTTCTCCATCCTAGGAGAGATAATCTTCTCATAGAAATGACTAGTGAGCCAGACTATGCTATCATTAGAAGTGTGAGGAGTAGCTCCATCCTTCTAGAACCACTGTTCTTGTCTATTGAAGCCTCTATGTCACTCTAGAACTGCCTAGAACTTCCTGGGAACGTCAATATTGCGCTGTGTGTTAACAGTTACAGTGTTGCTATTATCAACCTCAAACCAAAAGGCAGTTACAGTGTTGCTATTACCAACCTCAAACCAAAAGGGGTTGATGATTTCATGTTTGGAAATTGGCAGCCCTAGCTGTGCATTTAACAGAATGAAGGGGCCTTTGAAGCACTTCATCTGGAATTTGTGATCCCAGAACACATTATTTCTTCCCCTTTCTTGAGTTTACATGTTCAGAAAGAAGGGAATGTGATTCATCCGAAAACCTAACAATGGAAATGGACGACATTTGGAGCATATTTTGGAATGACCATAACTCTAATCAATATAAAGCTATGATTATTGAAACTTTGCCAGTGGATCCCACATTGAAAGAAGTCCTTGTGTGCCAAATCCCAGAGCAATTTACCTCCATTTAAGAAAAATATTGAAGAAATGGAGGGTTGCATTTTTTGGGGTAACCCTGTAGTTATTTTGAATTGATATGGTCAGCATTGATCATATAAAAATGTAGTGATTATTTTCAGAAGGCTGCCATTTTTTAGATTTTACACAGGATGTGATGTCTTGGACTTTTAACTTTTATAACATTGCTTACAACAATATCTGAATATAGGAAAGTAGCTCAAAATCACTTCTAGACAAATGGTTCTTACCTATTATAGGCTAAAGTCGATATAAATAATTTTTAAGTAAAGATGGCATGGTAATAGATCTCTGGCCCAAAACCTATGGTCCTTACTTTCTGTTCAAAAAGAACAGATTGTTTGAAGAATTAAATCATAGACAAAAATAAAAAAGAATATTCAGCTGGTTTTGTCCTTCTTCTCAATATGTCATTGCCTAATGCTATATGCAAAGTAAAGAGTTGATGACAACTTCTGAGTGAAATCTTCAAAAATGGCAACCTACTGGAAATGAGCAATACATTTTTAAATGACCACTGTTGACTATATCAAAACATTTTTCCTTGTTTTGCTCGATATGGAAAGTATATAAATGGTTATAACTACCATAATGAGAAAGATATGGGCTGGCAAGGAATATCCCTTTAAAAACATCTTGGTAAAATTATAACAACTCAGAACTTAGAGACATTTGAATTTATGATAAACTTGAATACTTTAGTAAGTTAACCATTGATTGTAAATGACTGAAAATTTTCAGACTATTAAACAATGAGAACAAATAAACAAATCATGTAACAATAAAGCGAACAGATTATGTCATTTGTCTTAAGTGATACAGTCCATTGTAGCATCAGAAATTAATTAGTTCGATGACATGTGATGAGATTTGAACATTCATCATCACAACTGACAAATCAAACTGCTCAAAACCTCAAAGATATGTGATATAAAATACCATGTTCCTTTCAGGCTTTACTGAGACAATGGACCCTTGGGAGCACAAAGATGAGGGTCATGAGCGTGCTGTCATGAAGGGTCTGAATGCCCTGAGGGACAAGAAACTGCTGTTTGACATCACACTGATTGCAGAGGGGAAGGAATTCAAGGCACATAAAGCTGTACTTGCTTCATGCAGTGAATATTTTAGGTATTTGCTTTTTTAAATTTTGGGGTAAACCAAGTTTTTTTACAACATATACAGACATTTAAAAGAATATGCAAAATCAGCTAATCTAAACCGTTGCATACCTTTTAAGAACAATTTTGGGCATTTTAGCAATTGTAAGGTGGAAATCATGATGTTTTTAAGAATTTTAAGAAACTTAGGTAACCATAATCATTTACTTCTTACAATATTCAACCAAATGAAATATGCTATTGCGGGGCTATGTTCACTGATAAGATGAAGGAATGTAAACTGGATGTGATCACTCTGAATGGTGTCTCAGCCTCTGGTCTAGCTGCCATTGTAGACTTTGCCTATACTGCTAAATGAAATATGCTATTGCAGGGCTATGTTCACTGATAAGATGAAGGAATGTAAACTGGATGTGATCACTCTGAATGGTGTCTCAGCCTCTGGTCTAGCTGCCATTGTAGACTTTGCCTATACTGCTAAATGAAATATGCTATTGCAGGGCTATGTTCACTGATAAGATGAAGGAATGTAAACTGGATGTGATCACTCTGAATGGTGTCTCAGCCTCTGGTCTAGCTGCCATTGTAGACTTTGCCTATACTGCTAAATGAAATATGCTATTGCAGGGCTATGTTCACTGATGAGATAAAGGAATGTAAACTGGATGTGATCACTCTGAATGGTGTCTCAGCCCCTGGTCTAGCTGCCATTGTAGACTTTGCCTATACTGCTAAATGAAATATGCTATTGCAGGGCTATGTTCACTGATGAGATGAAGGAATGTAAATTGGATGTGATCACTCTGAATGGTGTCTCAGCCCCTGGTCTAGCTGCCATTGTAGACTTTGCCTATACTGCTAAACTGAAGCTGGATGTGGGTGAGTTACAACACATCAGAGCAATCAGCAGAGAACAGAGGGATGTCAAGGGTTCCTCAAAATTAAAGGAATTATGTATTTTGGCTATCATTGTGAGCCTATGGAATTGCCCATTACTCCATCCATCTTTTTGTTTATCTATTTAACCTCTTGACTTCCTTGAAACCCTGAGTGACAAGATAATCTGTCACAAAATGTTTCACTAAAATTGCTCTTATTTGAACAATTTTCATCCAATTTACTCAAAAATTGTTTTAAAATGTGTAGAAATGTTGAAACTCTGTTCCCTAATTTTACTAAGATGAGCATCAGCTGTTGTATATGTGTGTCGTAAAAGCAGGCAAAAATGAAAACTTCTCTGGTTTCAACTGATTTTAGAGCCTGGGATTCAAGAGGTTAATACAAACAAAGCATTAGTTCATCTGAACTAATGCTCATATCCATTTAATGGGAGTCTAACTTGGCTACGGCTGCTACAGTCATTTCAATCACTCCATGTGATTAATATATAATGATTTGTTGGTTTATCAGACGTATTTTTCTGAAAAATCATAATTGTTTAGTTCATATTTAATTCATAGGACATAAACCTTCTTTTTAGTCATTTAGAAAATGAATTAATTGTCTTTTAAGATCGAAAAAAATACGGAACTTGTCCTGCCTTTTGGGCAAGGAGTTTTTGTTTGAAGTTCAAGGTTATAGGATAGGAAATACAGCTATTGTATCTTTAATATTTCAAAACCTGATTATAGTAAACATCTTCTCCACTTTCAGGCAACATCCAGGATGTCCTCTCAACAGCTAGTCACACGCAGGTCATCTCTATAATAGAATCATGCGCCACCTATCTGGAGCGATTCCTTGATTTTGAAAACTGTATAGATGTTGCCACAATCAGTGAGACCTATTTTCTGCAACATTTGAAGAAAAAGGCATACATTTGCATTGGAAAACATTTCATGAATTTAACATGTTCAGAACAGTTTCTCAATATGCCAACGTTGAACTTAGTATATCTACTAGAGTGCAATTACCCAATTCGTTGTAGTGAAGAAGATATCTTAAATGCTGTGTTGAATTGGGTCGAATACAAGGAAAGTGAAAGAATGGCTCAAGCAGGGCAGGTCCTTCGCCATATAAACTTTCAAAATATTGCTGTCCACTCATTATCTGCAACACTCCAGCTGGATATTTTTCAACGAATTGTTCAAGAGCACCCCTTCATTGAAACAGAACTATTTTGTGGTACACTGGACAATAAAAGTGAAACCCTTGCAAAAACTCTGATGAATAAACGTGGTTTTGAGAAAACCATTGTGACAATTGGGGGATTTGATCCAAACCATGGCTTAAACAATCGGCTATCGTACTTCCATACAAATGATAAGAAATGGAAGAAATTAAGTGCAGTGCCTCATTTACAGCAGACTGATTTTGGTGTTGCTGTCTTAAACAATGAGCTTTATATAGCAGGGGGCAACTACCATCAGGGAATCCAAGATGATTGTGCTCACAGCTTTCTCTTTAAATACAACCCAGCAACTGACAAATGGACCACTTTAAGCTCAATGTTACGACCGCGCTGCAAATTCTACCTAGGGGTCGTTGGGAATAAACTATATGCATGCGCTGGTTTAATTGACTTGACAGAACTTGAAGGCGTGAACCCAGATATTTCCACGGCAAGTCAGATGTCACCCTGTGAAGTATATGATCCAGAAACTGACAAGTGGTCATTCATATGTGAAATAGATTCGAAGGAGAGTTACAATAACTTTCCTGGGGTGGTTCATGGTCACAATATTTACATATCCGGTGGAATGTGGACACATGAGACACCAATGGCATCAGATTATGATGACGTTGAATATCTCGTCACAGAAATCTTGTTGAAACTGGACACTAGAAACAATCAATGGGAGATCAAAGAGAGCATGCCCACAGAGCGGGTGGGGCATATGATGGAGATATTTCAGGATAAGATAATTGTGGCTGGAGGCTGGAAATACATCAACCCTGACCTGGACGATGACCGTGAAATCATCAAAACAGTTGACATGTATGATATCAAAATTGACCAGTGGATCACAATCAATCAACAAACTTTGCCAAAATATCACGCTGGTGCTGCCTTAATTGGATCCAGAATCTTCATTATTGGAGGTTTTGAATCATTCGACAAGAAAACAGCTATGCGACAAACAAATCGAATTGCAGTGTATAATGCAAAGGAAAACATTTGGGAAGAAGATCAATGGTTCCCATTTGAGATTTGGGAGCATATGTGTTGTACCCTAGAGGTTCCTATGTGTAGAGAAGATCTCCATTTGCCAATCACTACAGGTACCCCACTCAGTATGAAACTCATGTATCCCAGTGGATAAATTGTGGTAAATTTGGAGTCAGAACTCTGAAGTAAAAACGTTTTTCAGTTTGTCAATTGTACAAAAACGTTAGATTTTGATGCTAACCTCAATGACCATTTGTCTGACAGTGCTAACATTTAGTAGAACATTATCACCAGACTTCATCCTAAAATCAAGGTGCCATATGGTTTTGCAATACCATATTCATGGAACTGTGCCATGTGGACTATTAACAGTGCTGCTTCAACAGTACTGATTGCAGACAAAACAGTGTACAATCTTATTAACAGTTGTATTCAGTGCATTTTTTATTTCTCAAACATTTTGTCATGTTAATGCCTTGTTTTACTTTTGTTATGAGAAATTAGAAAAACTATAATTTTTATGTTATCTTAAATGCAAAACTAAGTAACTGTCATTTGATACAAAAATGCATGTTTTATTTAGTAGGAGAAATATTCCAAAAGGAAAGAAAATTTCTGAGAAGCAAATACACTCTGAATGAACCTGCCAGGAAAGATGGGGGTTTAATTTCAATTTTTCAAAATAATCCCTTATCAGTCACACCTTTGACCATGTTATTTTTCAAAATGATCGGACTTATTTTGTGAAAATATGATATTGTTTTTCTCACCTTTATTGCAATAATAGATTATGGAAGAAGAGATGTATAAGTTCTTTAAAGGTAGAATGACATAGAAAACCTCATTTGGAAGGTTTCAAATTTTGGTGGCCAAAATTATGCTGAAAACAATGGACCGCATGAGCATAGGGTTATGTTGTTTTCAACTCCATCGCATTTCAACGGCCTTCCTCCTTTCAGAAGTTGTTGACATAGTGCAGATGAAACGTTTCATGTTTCATGTGGTTAAAGTGAAACAAACAAGATCATTTCGTTTAGAAATCCATTGTTTTTCGGAGTGTCACCAAATGTGTTAGCGTTTGGCACTCTGCCTCGGAGAGCGGTTAGCGTCTGTAACAGATGGCAGGCGGTGACATTTTGCACGTGAATGCCTTGTTTTATTATCCTGTAGAGACCCCAGAGGAAAACATATTATTTTTATGAGGCATGTTGAATTAATGGTGAGAAAATACTCATGGTAGATCTAACCGTCTAAAATCATTTGCGATAACATACCTGATCTTTTCCCCGATGTTCGAGCATTTCTTTGTTATTGTTTACACAATCGCATGACAAAATATCTGCAAAATATACAGACTTTATTTGGTTTGGATGAACGGAATACGTCTACAATTTTTGATTATGCAAATGATCTGTCTAGATTATCAGCTTACAATGCTTACAATGCTTATTACACATACATGTATTTCAGTAATGCACTCGAGCTCATCGAATGGTGCATTTTCACGAGTATTTATCCGAACGTCATCTTCTTGGGCTTATACATTATACACCTTTCAAAATGGGACCAGAAGCAACTTTCATGTAGCTTGTACTGTGATTATGATTTTAGTAGATTATATATTATATCGTTAGTACATGTACTTTATTATACAACTGTTGTACAATATATGTTTATTGTAGATAAATTATTTATAAAATAGAACCATGTGTGCAATTTTTACTGATAAGGAAATCGTATTAAATCACGCATACGGAGGTCTGTTCAATACTAAAATGTTCGCAGGTCATATTTTCTTGCCGATATAAAGTTAAAAGATGGCACTGTGGCCCTTGGTCCAATATTTCACTATATTGCCCTTTGAAATGACGTTATTTACCATTATACATCTTTCCACCAAATATAGAGAGAATCGGCTTCGTAGTATTCGAGTTAGCTTCCCGTTCGTTGGGACAATAATGCTGTAAAAGGAATCATAATCACCAATACTCTTCATAGAGACTGACATTGATATCAAATGAATGGTCCCTAAAAAGTTTACAAGATTTTACAAGATTTTACTAGATTTACGAGATTTACTAGATTTACAGTCTATAATATTTTCGAACAATTGTGTGTTGAATCATACAGCCATATACATTTAAATCATGATTCTTCAATACATCCTTCTGAGGAAAGATGTTTAATTTTAATTTGCACGTTCTCAAAATTGTTTAATCATATTGCTTATCTCAATCAACGTTCAAAAGAAAAAGCGTAATTTTTCATTTCCTTGGATATACAAAATTCAGCAAGAGGTCAACATGGGGACAATGATTCCGCAAACGAAATCTTAAAATAGAATGTGTTCCCTTTACAATTCAAGAACAAGAAGAAACTTTTGCCAACCTTGTATTTTAGAATTTAGCTTTTCTATTTTCGATACAAATTATCGTAAAAAGACTTATATACAATATTAGTCTATTACATGAACATGATATACTTAAATGAGATTTCTCATTTTAATACACACATAAATAGAATATTCTGTTCAGTGAACCTGGTAGTGTGCACTATGTGTGACATGGTGTGGCTTTTGATTGATATGTTTCATCCGACCTTCATTCGTGTCCACTTGTTCATTGGGTTAATACTGTCACACTAGCGAATTGGCTTCAAGTACAAGAGTGGATAGTAGAACTGCACGATATTGGCCGGATTCTTGCGGTATAGCAAGTTATTTGCGGTATTCTTCAGTAGTGTAGTTTTACCGAGTAAATCCTTCTTATAGATTCACTGGAGAAAACTCATATCTAACATTTAAGCGTATTCCTTGATAAACACTTCGTAAATAATAGAAGCCAAAGTTTCAATTGCAGAGATTTGGATGTCTTGTAATATATATACTACAGAGCACTATCTAGTACTAGCAGCACTGCAAGACTCTAATTAATGAATCGGTCTACTTCCATGCTGTAGTCTGCGGATATTCCTCACGCTGAACAGGGCTAATAGAGTGTCTGTCTAGATCTCACACGTGTGTCATCGAGTAACTAGAAAAGCCAGGACATTTCCGACCACGAGGAGTCATTGCAGGATTGGATGTTCTCTTGTAACTTGCTGAACTAGGCAGTGCCATAGCCAAGATGGAATTCGATCAATTGTTGAAGCAGTATCTCGGAGAAATCGGATTGTATCAAATTTTGGTCGTAGCCCTGCTGTCAATCCTGGGTATGACAGTTAGTTTTACAAACGTAAGCATTGTCTTCATTGCCGCCGTGCCGGAACACCATTGTTACATACAGGAACTCTGGCAATCGACGTTAAACATATCGATCGATGACATTCGTAATATTAGCATTCCCCGAGACAGTGAGAATGGAGGATTCCAAAAGTGTAAGATGTACGACAGGAATTATTCCGATATTACATCCTCGAAATTGAACTCTTGGATGAGCGAGGTGAACGAGTCTAGTGTTAAGATTGTACCATGTAAGGAATGGTACTACGACCAATCGCAGTACATATCCACTGTGGTTTCTCAGGTTAGTTCATTGCTTTATGACTGAAGTGAAAAATTATTGGTCTTGCTTCAAGTCTTTGTGCCCCCTCACCCCCCCCCCTTATCTAATTCACCACTTGTTAGGGTTGTATGAGTAATAGGGGGGTCACGTGGGGTATTAGCTAGACTAGTAAATTATGTGAATTGATTGTACTCCCCATTGTTTAAGATACGCAGTTCCTACCCATTTTGGGGGAAGGAGATATATTCTATTAGTCACAATGAATATCTATATCCACAACTACCTGAGGCAAGACAACATTTAGGTGTAAAGAGGGTATTATAGATCAGAATGTCACTCGTGTTTCAGATTACAAAACCACACCATCTGCTCGTATGCATAGCAACTAATTCTCCCCTTATTAGAAGAAACTAATATTACTAATAACACTATGAGGTCAATTATTAACTATGACTCCTCTTTCATTTACATGTGCCCATCGCATGTCATTGTTCTTTACAGTTTTCAGACTGTGTTTCATATAAATGTCGTGTGTATTGAGGAGGGGTTGCAATACTAACATTTTGGCCATCTGACATTTAAAAAAATTAATATAATTTGTTATTATTTTTATCTTAATAATTGTAATGTATGGATTTCAGTTCTTTTAAGTTGATGTCACGCCTGACCATCGACAAGTTACAGTGACAAAATATACCGTAGTACACCTTAGATGTACGATGTCACTGTTTAACCGATTTGAATCAAAGGCAAGGATGCAGGTGTGATGTAGGTTTTAAAATATTAATCTTGGGAATACTTGAAAGATTTCTTGTTTAATTTCGTGTGTATTCTTTTAGGAAGACATTTAACTTTCTAATAACGTTAAAGATTTTCGAACAGTGCTCGATTTTTTCGTTGTCAATCTACCCACGAAAATTGATCGGTTTGAAAATGTTGGGTTTTTCACATTTACTTTGATCATTTTTTCCCCTGTTGCCTAAGAGTGTCGATTATTTTTGTGAGAATATGTTTCTCTATACTACACAATTTAGGACGGGTGGAGATTAATAAATATTCAAGTATTTATTGTAATTTTAAAAAATCAGAAATGTGCGTTGTCAACTCGAATGTACGTTGTCCCTGAAATTGAAATTCTTGAGATATACGTAATATTAAACAATGTAATGATTTCATTTCAAAATTCATTAAGGTTTTTATGAGTAACAAGTGATCTTTAACGAACATGTTCAAGTATCCTTTTTGCTTTTTCATTTTATGAAAGTATTGTTGTGGTGGTGGTTAATTTGTGCCCATTTGGTGTTAGCTTCCAGCCCAAACTCCGGCCATCCAGTGTCTCGGAATAGAATATGTTATACTGCCACGGAGTCTCCTTCCAGCCTGTTTGATTATTTGGCGTCTGTATCTTACGTTTTGTTAGTTACATTAGATAGATCTACTGATCTATACTAGCTTATTGGATATGACTTTTTAAAATACCGTTTATGATATATCTGAAAAGTTTTAATAGTTCAATCAAATTGAAGTAATTCTGTTCTGTTTCAATTTTAAATGCATCTGACCCCCTGTCTCAGGGCCGTCAGATGGGGGGGTGCGATGGGTGCGACCGCACCCCCCTTTGTCACCCCCCAAAATAAATGTAAAAAAAAAATTTGGAAATTTTTTTTTTTTGAAAAATATTTTTTTGAAATATTTTTTTCATTGACTCATACACTTTGAAAGTACCCAGAAAGCACCAAATAGCATCTTAAAATTGTAAAATTTTCTAGGGGTATTGGCCACCCCTCACCCCTCCCCCCCCACAAAACAATGGAAAAGTTCTAAATTTATTTTAGAGTTTTGTCTCAGACACTGCCCAGATATCATCAAATAGCTCCTTGATATAGTTAGTATTTCTGGGGGACTTACTCCCTCTCTTGCATCTTGCACTTGCATACCCCCCCCCTCTGGCGCCCCCCCCCCCCCCCCTTGACCCCCCCCCCCCCTCAAAAAAAATTGTGATTTTCTCAAATTCTTTAATTGACTCATACACTTTGAAAGTGCCTAGAAAGCACCAAATAGCGTCGTAAAATTGTAAAATTTTCTAGGGGGAGTGGGCCACCCTTCACACCCCAAACAAAACAATGGAAAAGTTCTGAATTTGTTTTATGTATTGTCTCAGACACTTTTAAATTGCCCAGACATCATCAAATAGCTCCTTGATAAAGTTAATGATTCTGGAAGACTAACACTTACTCGCCCTCTGGCATCCCCACTCCACATCCCCCTCTAGCAGCCCCCCTCCCTCAACACCCCCCCCCTCAACACCCCCCCCCAAAAAGAGATATGAGATTTTTCAAATTTTTTTATTGACTCATACCCTTTGGAAGTGCCAAGAAAGCACCAAATAGCATCTTAAAATTGTAAAATTTTCTTGGGAAATAGGCACTTTTAGGCACAGACACTTTAAAATTGCCCAAACTTCATCGAATAGCACCTTGATATTGTAAATTTTGATATGGGGGACAAACACTTTCTCCCCCTCTGGCACCCCAGCCCCATCTCCCCCTCTGGCACCCCTCCCCGCCCCTTTGACACCCCCAGAATTTGAAAAAAATTGTGATTGTTTTTCAATGTTTTTATTGACTAATACACTTTAAAAGTGCCCAGAAGCACCAAATATCATATTTAAATTGTAATTTTTTCTAGGAGAGTTAGCCACCCCTCACATCCCCCACAAAACAAAAGAAAATATTCTGAATATCATGTATTGTCTCAGACATTTTTTAAGTGCCCAGACATCATCAAATAGCACCTTGATATGGTCAATGTTTCTGGGGGACAACCCCTTGCTCCCCTACTGGCACCCCACCCCACTTCACCCTCTCATCCTCTTTGACACCCCCAAAAGAATTTGAAAAAAATTCACATTTTTCTTATTGACTCATAACGCACAGGCGTACCAGATGGTTGCAAATTCGCTCCAAATACAACCAAATTTCCAAATTTTCCTGGGGGGAGAACCCCCAGACCCCCCTGAATGCTCAGTTTTTATTCACTCAACTCTTATTCCCGTGGTGGTGGCGTACTACTTAGAAACTTACACTTTGAAAGTGTCCAGAAAGCACCAAATAGCATCTCAAAACTGTAAAATTTTCTAGGGGGAGTAGACCAATCCTCACACACCCCACAAAACAATTGGAACGTTTGGAAGTTGCATCCATTTGTTAATTCCAAACCAATATAGGGAGTAACTGACCCCCCCCCCCCCCCCCTCTGTCCTCCGCGATTTGATTTACGCGGCAAAAAAATGACAATTTTATATTCTCTTTAGTAAGCTAAAAACCGCACCCCCCTTGGAGAAAAGTGTCTTACGGGCCTGTGTCTGTTAGTGTTATGAAAAATACGTTCTCTGCATTAGGGTTAACTGTGAGTAAGTAAGTGTGAATTGAGTAAGTTCAATGGGACAACGTACATTCGAGTTGACAACATACACTTTTGATTTTTTAAATTATAGCCAAATTGTTCATACTCGTTAAATCTTCAACAGACCTTAATTGTGCTGTTTAAAGAAACATATTCTCATAAGAATCTTCGACACTTTGAGACGACATTTGCATCCCTCAGATTATATTTTAAAGACATCAAACCTACATCATTGTCTTTGCTTCAAATCGGTTAAATAGTGACATGGTACATCTAAAGTGTACTACGGTATATTTTGTCACTGTACCTTGTCGATGGTTAGGCGTGTACATGCAATATTGAAAAAGAGGTATAAAGTTTGAGCAGTCAGACTACAAGTACGTGAAATCAAATTGCATATAAAGGGAGAGATGAGAGGGAAGCATTGGCCATAACAGACTTAACCAAATCAAGAAATCTCCTATGGCAGCGTATACCGCTACACTAGCGGTATAGAATTTCCTTATCATCAGTGATTAAGCCAGTTTGTTTGTCATCTGATACGTCTGCAGTAGGAGTCTTGGAAGAGTGTAACTACTTAACATTGATAAGGCATAAACATGAATACTTAACTGTTAAAATGTCTAATGGTCAAAACATTGAAAAGTCTTATGTTAATTAAATGTAAAGCTGTGTAGAATGCTCAATTTCTAGTCACTAGTACCCCGCACGAGTTTTTGATAATAACTTTGACCCGTGATTTTAACATTCTACCCTAAACTATGTGTTATTAAATTTAGCACACAGATAAACTAGTGGCAACATAGGAAAGTTTTGTTTTCATTTTAATTCAATATCAATAACAATAGAAACACACTGGTCAGGTGTCATTAATGCTTTTAACCAATTTGACGTCATAAAATCAAAATTTAGAATTGATTTAAACAATTTTATTTACTTATCACTTATTTGAACAATAACACTCTGTTTAAAGTAGATCTTTATGGTATTTTTGAATAGTCTATCAGTAGTCTGTCTATACATAGACAGGTTCATTGACAAAGCTTTATTTTGGAATATACTTGCGCTTGATATCTAGTTGCCCAGGTGTTGTCATGGTTGAATCATAAATGCACTACAGTTTTAACATCATATTCATTGAAACAATATAGCAATTTTGGTGGAATGTTCAAATCACGGGTTAAAGTTATTATCAAAAACTTGTGTGGGGTACTATAATGCTGACCCTACTGTGCACTCACACTATATGTGCAGTATTTGTAGAATATCAAAAATTACCAAAAATTGCAACCGAAAGGATATAAATTCACAACAAAAGTTTGCAAAGTTTACTATTTTGTATCATCTAATCAACCTCTTCTGAAATATTTGTCACTCAAAATAGATTAAAAAGAACGTTGAAAATATTTGAGATAGCCAGCATTCTTTCACAGTACACTACATTGAAAACCATTGATAGATCCAAGACTAGATGGATTCGATAAATAATATAAATGATAAAGTTTGCTACATTTAGAATGTAAAGTTTGGTTTCTACTATTCTACTATTACTATTACTGTAAACTCTTTATATTAGCGTGTAGTAACCTTTCAGAAATAAATCAACGAAATCTCATCCTTTTAAATAATCTAACAATGATTTTTTAACAGTACGCATTCTATTTATTTATATTTTGTCAACAAACTAAGTCAAATAAGATAAATAACATTATTATCTCAAAAACAAAATGATGGGAAATGAAGTATATTTCTCTGTGTACAGTAACATTTTAGCAAAACCCTAATTCTGCTTTGAGAAGCAACTTCTACAGTTTGCTGGAATATGAAACCACATTAATGTTTGCGTTGACAGCTTAATGGGCCTAGATAGGGATTTAACATGCAGTATAGTTATACTGGTAGCGGTATACGCATTTCTTGATTTGACAATGAAATATAAACTTGAACTTTATCTCAAAGGATTTGATATGATTTCACTTCTCTGTTCTGACTTTTTTGTTCTTCTCGATTCTTTTTCCATTTTCATTGTTGATCTCGGCTAGATCTCGGTTTGGTGTTAATTGTTAATTCATTTTAGTATATGAAATTGAGGGGTCTTGCCATGGGCTGTCAACTTTAATTGAAAGCCCATGGTCTTGCCCGCACGGTAAGGAATGAAAACAACAAGCATTTACATGCAAAATGTCATTACATGACATTTGTTACAGACGCCGAAAAACAAAAAAATATCATGTGACCCTTCGTATAAATACAAGTAAGGGTCAGCATCCTGCTACAACAGTAACTTCAAATCAAAACATGTAGATTAGTCAGTCAAAATAGTAAATTCAATATACGACTTCGATACGTAATAGTGCTTTAGTCACATGAGACCAACGGTAACCGTACGGCGGCTGCAGCTTCCCAAAATCGAGAGATATCTGCAGCCTAAATAAAAGGCAAATGTGACTGAGGTATTAGCTTTTACACCAGCAGACAAATCCAAAATGCAAACATCTACAATATTTTGATTGAACAGTGTTGTTTGATCGGCCAATAGTATTGTTGTTTTGCTTCTTTACAAAGTGTTCGCTTGAGACTTGCTATTGAAATTATATGAATTGAAATACAATGTTAATAGATAACCCATTATTCAAATATTATAATTCCATTCAAAAGGGAACGATGCACTTACCCATGAACGCCCCGCTCCACCCAATCTTAAATCATCATGTCATGTCATGGTCACATGGTATTTGTTTTTGCTGATTTTTGTAGTTGTTATGGTCTCTGTTTTTTTGTGGCGATTGGTGGTTGGTGATCGGCGGGTGGCGGTTGGCTGTTGGCGTCTAACAAATTCTTAAAACTTCAAATAACTTAACAAATATTGTTTAGACTGACTTCAATTTTTTCAAAATCGTCTACAAGTTTTCAGAAATTCAAATCTGACTTTACGTTTAAGATTTGACCGTCAATGACCTTTTCAAGGTAACAAAAGGTTAAAAAAAGTTCTTTTTTTTCAAAATCATCTACAAGTTATCAAAAGTTCAAATCTTACTTTAGATTTAAGATTTGACCTTCAATAACCTTCTCAAGGTCAAAAAGGTCAAAAGGTCGTTTTTCAACTTGCTCCAAATTGACCATTTTTTTTAAATTATCTACAAGTTCTTAAATGTTCAAATTTGACTATAGATTTGACCTTAAATGACATTCCCAAAGTCAAAAAAGATTTGACCTTCTCAAGGTCAAAAGGTCTTTTTCAACTTGCTTCAAATTGACCAATTATTTTTAAAAATCATCTACAAGTTCTCAGAAGTTCGCATCTGACTTAAGATTTGAGTTTTGACCTCCAATGACCATCTCAAGGTCATTAAAGGTCTTTTAAAAAAATTTAACAATTACTGTTTAGATTGACTTTATTTTTTTCAAAATCATCTAGAAGTTTTCAGAAGTTCAAATCTGACTTTACATTTAAGATTTTACCTTCAATGACCTTTTCAAGATAAAAAAGGGGTAAAAGGTCGACTTTTTTTCAAAATCATTTACAAGTTATCCGAAGTTCAAATCTGACTTTAAATTTGACCTTCTATTACATTTTCAAGGTCAAAAAAGATTTGACCTTCAATAACCTTCTTAATGTCTTTTTCAACTTGCTTCAAATTGACCAATTATTTGAGATTTCACCTTCTCAAAATAAAAAGAGAAACTGTTTTTAATTCATCATCTACTTCTATGGTTATATTTTAAATATTTCATCTATGAGTGCAATTATCCATGTCATCAGCTTGTAAGGCACTTATGTCGGGCTCGGGTGCAGTACTGGAACTATGAGTGTAGTATAGTTGTACTCGTGTAATGAGGTTACGAGTGTGGTCGTGTGGAGTTGCGAGTGTTGTATAGTTGGGTTACGAGTGTGGGCATGTGAGTCTGCGAGAGTACGAGAGTACGAGTGTGGTCGTGTACTGGAACTATGAGTGTAGTATAGTTGTACTCGTGTAATGAGGTTACGAGTGTGGCCATGTGGAGTTGCGAGTGTTGTATAGTTTAGTTACGAGTGTGGTCATGTGAGTCTACGAGAGTACGAGTGTGGTCGTGCACTGGAACTATGAGTGTAGTATAGTTGTACTCGTGTAATGAGGTTACGAGTGTGGTCGTGTGGAGTTGCGAGTGCTGTATAGTTGGGTTACGAGTGTGGTCATGTGAGTCTACGACAGTACGAGTGTGGTCGTGCACTGGAACAATGCGTGTAGTATAGTTGTACTCGTGTAATGAGGTTACGAGTGTGGTCGTGTGGAGTTGCGAGTGTTGTATAGTTGGGTTACGAGTGTGGGCATGTGAGTCTACGAGAGTACGAGTGTGGTCGTGTACTGGAACTATGAGTGTAGTATAATTGTACTCTTGTAATGAGGTTACGGATTGGTCATGTGTGGCTACGAGTGTTTTCATGTGTGACTGGGAATCTGGGAGTGTTGAATTACGAGTGTGGTTACGAGTGTGGTCGCATGGAGTTGCGAGTGTTGTATAATTAGGTTACGAGTGTGGTCATGTGAGGCTTTGAATGTGGTCGTGTGTGGCTGCGGGTGCGTTTGTATGGGGCTATGAGTAGTACATGTATGTTGCTTCGAGTTTGGTGGTGTTGGGCTATGAGTGAATGGTAGTTTATTTTCTGTAGTCATAGTCTTAGTACTATTATGAGGTATATATGTATATATTGTATTTATATATATTTACATTTTTCATATTTTATACTTGTTTATGTGTTTTTTATTTCAGTTTGGCCTGGTGTGTGATTATGAATGGATGATATATTTAACAAATATCATGTTCATGGCCGGCTATCTCGTCGGTACACTGATATCAGGACAAATAGCCGACAGGTCAGTAAAGTTAAAGAACATTAGAGTCACACTTTTTATATTTCAGTCACATACTAGTCATTTATATTGCAATTAAACATGTTAAATCCAGGATCAGATTTAGGAATTACTTTGGTTACTTCATCTTGACGAAAATTGCTTCAAAATCAAGAAAAATCATTCCTTGTCATGCCTATTTTCTAAAAATACCCCAAGTATATACTTATTGAGGAAAACTAAAGATTTTTGCAATAATGCAATCATTTGTCTATTTGAACAGAGTCACGCCGGAATAGCCTGGCAACGGTAAAGTCAAATACCGTTGTCACAAATGGCGGACATTACCGTCGCTTCAATTAGATTTTCACGAACTGTATGTTTAATAGAGCACATAGACTAAATTCCTTTGGAACAACAATCAATCAAAATTTATACTTTATACTGTTAATTATGTTCTACCATCGACATAAAGTCTTTAATTTAACCGATCAAAATGAGATACGGGACAACGGACACTGTATTACCATATGCCGTCGTCTTTGTAAATTATTTCAAATTCAGTGGCCTTTTAGGTTAACTTCCCTTATTACATGTTAAATGGCATAGTCTGCTGATCACGGTGTAGGTGAAACTGGAAGGGTCATTTAAGGTGTAATTGGAGAACAAGCCGAGAACAGCGAAATTTTATTAATCATCCTTGTGTGTCTTACATTCCCCAAGTTTGGTAACCTTAGCTCCCCCATTGAACTACGTGTTTAAGCCTCTTTACGTTTGAATTTTTATTCACTTAACCTGCGATGAAATAACTTATAACTATTGATGGAAACGTAACTTGACTTTATTTCCAATACCTTCAAAATTTCCCAATTTTTTTCCTCGATTACAACAGGTCGAAAATTGATGATTTTGATGAATTTTTGAAAATCGTTATTCCCATGTAAACCAATGGTTCGGGGCATATCAGAAATCATGATATCTGTTCACAAAAAGATTCAGCAAAAAATAATTTTATATAGAAAATTGGATTGTCTAACTTTTTTGAACACTAAGTGTTTAACTTACTTGATGAATACTAAAGTTAGTGAGCTTCAAAGCCATTTTTGAAAATCATTTTTCGCCTCCTGTGTTATTGGCTCGTGCTGAGGCAAGAGCCATATCTCACTTGGGTTTAATAGTAAGTGATAATGACAATGGACTGAGGTTTAAACGTTAGTTTACTAGTAGAAAACCTGATGGGTTAATATTTATTGATGAAAATGAGTTAATTCCTCGAGCAAAAGTTAGAGAGGGTTTCAAACGACATATACGCAATTTTACAACAACACCATGAACACTGTTATTTTATGGGCACTGATTTTCGGCAACATGATTTCCTAAATACGACAGAAATACGAGCGACTTCTTGATTTATAATTGTGAAAAACATTTAACTATTTTATTAATATCTTCGGAGAACGAGAATCAAATTGACCCATCTCCACTTTTTGATATGTTTGGATGTTTTCTAAGAGGTCCAGGTACTCAGACCTTCACAAGTTAAAGATCTTAATCAGTTCAAAACCATAGGCCAAGGGTAAAGTAATAGTAAGCTGTATATAGAAGAGACAGGTGCACAAGTAAGATTGAAAAATTTTCAAATATTTTTAGTCTTGGCACTAGTTCTCCTTACTGGTATCTGAGACTAACATAATGTGTTAGTAATAATATGTTAGTCTCAGCTAGTATCAAATTGTATTCCCAAATCTCTCCAAAATCTTCTTTAAAGTGTTTTTCAAACTTATATCATTGTTTTTTTCAAATCTTTATCTTAAAACTGCATATAATAGTGCTTATAAAACAACAACTATGGATATCTACAATTGCCTGGCAAGCTGAAATTTGTAACAAGTGATTTGGTTGGTTAATACAGAAATTGTCACTTTTGGAGGTCAGGGAGGTCAGCAGTGACCAATCAGATCACTTGTTCATTTTTTCTGGATACTGAACTTGCCTGGTAATTGTAGGTTTTCAGAAATTCTCTCTTTTAGACAGCATTATTCACTCTATTTCATCTGACTTTGTTTCAATCTTAGGTAAGAGCTACAAACTATCAATTTTCTATCAACTGCCCATTGCTTTTTGAAAATAATACACTAGATATTGTTGAAATCTCCCTCTTAACAAGTGGTCTAAGTCAGACTTGTGCACCTGTCTCTTCTAATATACAGCTTACTATTACTTTTCCCTTGGCTATGTTCAAAATGTTCGAATTTTTCTACTTTTGCCGCTCGGTAAATTACAACCGCGTTAAAAGTAAGCATCCCTATTTATCAATACAATTCATTACATCACTGCAAACATCTCCTTCACACGAGCCTTCATTTTTTAAAATGATCTCTTGTTTCAATGGGAGAGGTTTTTTGAAAAATAATTTTGACTTTAAAGACCTATAACTTTGCTGATCCTGAACAAAGGTATCAATTTTTTGTTAAAGGCCCCATGTAAAGTTTAAACCACTTTGGCTTATATTGTAGTCTTACCCAATGTTATCAAAGTGTGATATGTGAAACTTTTTTTTTAAATTTCAAAAAGTGGTTTTTGATAAGACTTTTTGTTCCAAAATTTGTGAATTTATTTAAAACCAACTTTTAGAGGTCATTCATATCTTCTAATTAGCCACAATTAATACCAATGCATAGCATTCATCCTCCCATGTTTTCTGCCGAAAAAATTAAGAAAATCGGTTGATAAACAAGCGAGAAATGAACTTATCAGTGCATGAAAATGGTTCTGAGAAAAATGCATTTCAAAATTTTAGTTCTCATAGAAACCAATGGTACAATGATATCTAAAACATAATTTATTCTTCCTTTTAACCTGGTTAGACAATCAACATTGTTTTTTTATGAAAATCTAGCATATTTAGAAAAGATTGACATCGAAAAAAAAATTCAATTTTTTTCAAAAAGTGTTTGTTACCTTAGTGACATCACTAATGTTTCAAAATATTTTTGATAAGCTAAAACATTGAAGTGGCCCATTAAATATGACATTTTATTATTGAAATAGTGTGTCGTTTGTTCAATCTTTGCATTGGTGTTAAAAAGATAATCCTTTTTGAAATGCATTAAGAAATATTTGATGATTAAGAAATTTCAACTTCTTTTGAAAAATGGCGGGAAATTTGAATATTTGAGAAATGAAATGCTCACAACTTTTTTTTCAAAAAAAATTTTTTTGTTCAAAAATCTCTAAAATCACTTTTTAAGTCCTGACAAATAGTAAATGAATGATAAAAAAATATTTTCAAACTTTAGACGGGGACTTTAAAGTTAAAGTTAGCAAATTCAATTGCCTACCTAACTTGTATTTTTTGCAAGGACTCAGAGTGATGGATATTCTGTCACATGACTTGAGGCAAACAACCTTCCATTTTCCATTGGTTAACATGGGAATGTCGATTTTCAAAAATTCATCAAAACATCAATTTTCGAACTATTGTAATTGAGGAAAAAATTGAGAAAATTGGGAGGTATTGGAAATAAAGTCAAATTACGTTTCAATCAATAGTATAAGTATTTTCATCGCAGGAAGTAAAGAGGCTTTAACACGTAGTTCAATGGGGGAGCTAAGGTTGCCAAACTTATGGAGGGGTGAACCTTGCAGGCCCGTAGCCAGGGGGGGCTCTGGGGGCTCGTCCGAGCCCCCCCCCCCCCGATATCTCCTAAAAAAATGTGGACCTACCTTTTTGCTTCCTTGAAGAAAAACTTGCTCTTCCCCACATTCACTGGGCAATCAAGATTAAAAAACTGGCATTACTGTGCATTGTTTTTCGAATTTGGGCATTACTTGACCTTTTGGGCCTTACTTTTTTCAATATCAGGCCAAATTTTCAAAAAACGGGCTATAAATTTTCAAAATTTTGGCCCGAATTTGGGTTAAAGGGCCCTAAAAATTTTATGCGCGGCCCTAGGATAGCCCAAGAAAAAAATGTCGGGCCAAAAATATTGTAGGGCCTCTTTAGTTGGCCTTTGCTTGACCTTTTTACCTGACCTTTTTGGGCTTTATTTTTTTCAATTTCAGGCTAAATTTTCAAAAAACGGGCCAAAAACTTTCAAAAACTTCGCCTGAATTTGGGTTTTAGGGCCTTTAAAATTTTACGCACGGCCCTAGGATGGGCTTAGAAAAAAATGTTGGGCCAAAAATATTGTAGGGCCTCTTTAGTTGGCCTTTACTTGACCTTTTTACTTGACCTTTTGGGCCTTATTTTTTCAATTTTAGGCCATATTTTCAAAAACGGGCCATAAATTTTCTAAATTTTGGTTCTAGGGCCCTAAAAGGTTTTCCACGCAGCCATAGGATTGGCCCAGAAAAAAATGTCGGCCCAAAAATATTGAAGGGCCTATAGTGGGCCTTTTTGGGCATTACTTGACCTTTTTGCCCCTTATTTTTTCAATTTTAGGCAAAATATTCAAAGAACGGGCCATAAATCTTCAATGGGCTTTTTTGGCCATTACTTGACCTTTTTGGGCCTTATTTTTTTCAATGTTAGGCCAAATTTTCAAAAAACATGCCATAGATTTTCTAAATTTTGGCCCAAATTCTTGTTTTAGTGCCCTGAAAAGTTTTTCCGCGCAAGCGCGGATATTTTTTCCTGACTTGAAGTCTGTGTCCCCCCTTGTTAGCTTCCGGATCTGCCACTGTCCTTTACAATACAAAGGGGCTTGGTTTAGCATGGGGAATTTTCTTTTGGGGGGGGCGGTTTGCGGGAGGGTAGGGGGGGTTCGAGCCCCCCCCCCCCCCCCCCCTTACAAAAAGCTGGCTACGGGCATGCCTTGTATTCGCGAATGCAACTAACGCCTGCCGGCTACCGGTTTAATCTATTATTTTATGGCCAACTCATTTAAATATGAATGGACTTGTGGCAATTACTATTCATATTCAGATGAGTTGCCCATAGAATAGCAGGTTAATCCGGTAGCCGACAGGCGTTAGTTGCATTTGCGAATACAAGCTAAGTGTTTAGATGCAAAATTACATTATGCTGAGATTCATCTCTAAAAAAGAATTGAAATAGGTTTTCGATTTGTTTCAAATGTTGCCCATTTGTGCTTCATCATTTTGCATGGTATATCCAGTTGTTCTATTTTCCATAACAAAAAGTCGTGGCATTACTCCAAATTTGATCACCCCATGTTAATCATCTCATATTTTATTTTTGTATTCAAGATTTGGGAGACGTTACACCATCATTGGGTGTTATGCATTGACTGTTGTGTTCTCTTTTGCGACTGCGTTTTCGCCCAACTTTACGATATTCACCATCTTGAGGTTCTGTACGGCTGTCTTCAGCATAAGCAGTTATACCATAGGATTCGTATTCAGTAGGTCTATGCAATGTATACTTGTAGAGCATTGTAGATTAATCTGTTAAAAATTGTAGACTTCAACCTGAAAACATAAATGCACTTTCAAGGTTTTAGGCCGATATAAAGATGGCACTAATGGTAGTTCATGTTACCATTCATTATATATAAACAAGTGGACTGCACCACCATCCTTTTATGATCATCATTTTATCACTCGAAGCAATCATTTTAGATATGGAGCTTGTTGGTCCGTCATGGAGGAACACGAGCGGGTTGTCAATGCAGTATTCCTGGTCGATGGGTTTTATGGTGCTTGCTCTTGTAGCTTATTATATAAGAGATTGGTCCACGCTACAGTTGGTGTTGGTCATACCACTTGCTCTGCATTGCTTCCTCATTTTGTAAGTACAGATGCCAGTCCTGTTTAACAGGTTTTAGATTAGAGTTCTAGAAACAACGCCCGCTCAACACTGCTGAACACAGGGACTGTACCAAATTAAGCGTGACAGTTGAACGCGCAGGTTAAAGTACAACACGAGGAACTTGAATTTGCGTTATACCGTACTTCATGTAAAGGAGTGGTATCGATATGGAGAACTGAATTCAACAATGTTTTTCTCTTAAACCAATCATTGATAACATTCTGTAAAAAGCACGGTATTTTATGTAATGTTGACTGATTGACAACAATTTAATGCGAAAATTATTTAGAAATATTTTATATAACTGTTTTTGTTAACATTTTTTTGTTTTTTAGTGCAATTGTTTTAGCTCCTTTCTACCAATTCTTGAGAATGAAATAAAATGTCTTTCCGAACCTTGCTGGAACAAAATAGCATATACAACATGTTTTTAGACCTCTCAATATTATAGTTATACAAAGGAATTTTTGGTTGATTTTTAAAAAAAAGTATTCAAAAAATTAAAACAAAATCCCCCCAAAATAGATAAAAATCAAGATAAACCTTTTATTTCATTAACACTGAGATACTTTTTTAATATCAACCAAAATTTCCTTTGTACAATCACAATATTGAGAGACCTAAACATGTTGTGTTTATGTCGTTTTGTTCCGTTCGGAAAGATGTTTCATTTCACTCTGGAAACATGATACCAAGAACACAACAAGTGTTTGATGTGTTTTCTAAAACAATATAGATGAACGCGCACGTATATATATTTTTTCAAATTATATTGTTACCATTCAAAAGATGACCATTAAATTGACGATGTGTAAAATTTTTAGATTTTTTATGACTGGTTTAAGAGAAACGTGTTTTCAAAAAGTTCTCTATATCGATACCACTCCTTTACCTGCGCGTTTTACCGTTTGCTACATTCGAAGTTTAAAGTTGTAGGTTTACCCCGTGCGTTTAACTGACACGCTTAATTTGGTACACACCCTGTGATTTAGCAAGTGAAGAATTTGGTGCCCTTATTGAAAAATATACTAAAAAACACATCCGCATGCATAAAAAAGAATAACATAATATCATTGTCGTCGTTCTAGTTTTCTTCCAGAATCACCTCGGTGGTTATACGCTAAATGTAAAACCGAAAATGCCGATGCTGCTGTCAGAAAAATTGCAAAGTGGAACAGGAAGGACATCCCAAAGGCACTCAATGTAAATGTGGAGGTAATATTTGATATTCAATTGTGCAATTATGCAATACGCAGTGAGACATTTGTGCGTTCTGGTTATAAGAGACAACAGCTGCGATTCACATCCTAAATACAACTTTAAGTATTGATCATTAGAATTCATAAACATAGTAAAGATATAGTTGTCGAAAACAAAACGTTCCTCTCTTTTTGCGAGCAGCTCGTTTTCGACTCTCCGTTTTATCGCAGGATGTGGTATACTTGTCTTGGACTATATTTATAACTGTGTTATGAAGAAACCGTCTGAATATGCTACGCCATGACACTGTCTTGCTCAGGACATTATCATTGACACAATTATCATTAGAACTTACTCGTATATACAGTGTGTAATATAAAAAGGGATAGGAGGTGGATATACTAGCTTTAAGAGAACTTGTACGTGGTCGTAGAATTATGGTGTTTTTTCTTTTATTTCAGTTTAATACATTTAAATATACAATACATAGACTGGCAAAGTTAAGAACACATGTGGCAATTATAGAGGTTACGCACTGTGAGGTTTTGGATACAGGGAATATCCCGAGAGATATACAATATATCTTTCCGAGGGCCCGATAGGATCAAGGGAAGATATATTGTATATCCTTAGGTGTATTTTCTGTATCAAAACCGACCGTGCATAACTGTTGTATTCCATACCTGGTGAGGTTTGTATATAGCAATCGTATGTCTCAGAGAACGCTTTATGCGGAATATAGGATTTGTACACCCGGGATCCCGCGGAACATATGAAATATTTTCACCCGGAAATGGAATTGGAATGCATTCACGGTTAATATGTCCCTGAAACCTCATCAGGTATTGAATACATAAGGTTTTAGATACAGGGAATATCCCGAGGGATATACAATATTTTGTACATCCCAAAGGATATTACCTGTATCAAAACCGACCGTGCATATTGCATAACCACTATGTATTCCATACCTGATGAAGTTTGAAATAATAAGCAGATCGTCGACGGGCTGGAGTTCCCCTTAGTGGCCAAGTACTTCTTCAGTACTTGAACATCCAAATGAGTTTCTTTGCGGTGTGTTCATTTCCTGTGTTTACTTAGAATTCATCCATTCTGTTTACCCCGTTCGTTTGGCACCTCTGTCTCTTGTTTAGTCCAGGGCTGAAACAGTTATGACATGAATTCCCGGGGCGTGACATATAGCCATCGTATGTCCCGGAGAACGGCTTATGCGGGGCATACGATTTATATGTCCCGGATACTCGTTGGTGCAGGACATACGAAAAAAATTTCCCGGATATGGAATATATTCCCGGTTGATACGTCCCTGAAACCTCATCAGGTGTGGAATACATAATGTTTCACGTTCAAGTAAAGGTTTTCTTTAAAACATGTGTACGTTTGACATAAATTGTCATGGTAAACTGTATTATAACAGTATAATGTGTCTACTTGGCGTATTTATTTGCTTAATATGGGTTCATATGATTTATGTTTTCAAAGCTCAACCTATTTTACAATTTAGCCAACATATTGTCTCTATCGTGCCAATTAGTTCTTGTTTGCTATTAAAGTAAGGTAAACCCTGAAATATACATTTGCTTTATCATTTTATAAGCAAACTGCATGTTACACATCTCACCATAGTCATTTCTATGAAACATTGCAACTTGTTAAACTTCCTAGCTTATTTAAACAGATTTAAAACAAATACTATGTTAATATAGTGTTTTATAAAATTAAAAATGGAAAATTTCTTATGGTATTTTTTGCATTTCAGACAAACGCTGCCAACCACACAATCATTGATTTAATGCGGACACCAAGGATGAGAAAGAGGGCACTTGCCATGTTCTACGCCTGGTGAGTTACTCATACCATATTTTAACACTGAACACTTGCCATGTTATACGCCTGATGAGTTACTCATACCATATTTTAACACTGAGCACTTGCCATGTTCTACGCCTGGTGAGTTACTCATACCATTATTTTAACACTGAGCACTTGCCATGTTCTACGCCTGATGAGTTACTCATACCATATTTTAACACTGAGCTCTTGCCATGTTCTACGCCTGATGAGTTACTCATACCATATTTTAACACTGAACACTTGCCATGTTCTACGTCTGGTGTTTACTCATACCATATTTTAACACTGAACACTTGCCATGTTATACGCCTGGTGAGTTACTCATACCATATTTTAACACTGAACACTTGCCATGTTATACGCCTGGTGAGTTACTCATACCATATTTTAACACTGAGCACTTGCCATGTTATACGCTTGATGAGTTACTCATACCATATTTTAACACTGAACACTTGCCATGTTATACGTCTGGTGAGTTACTCATACCATATTTTAACACTGAGCACTTGCCATGTTATACGCTTGATGAGTTACTCATACCATATTTTAACACTGAACACTTGCCATGTTATACGCCTGATGAGTTACTCATACCATATTTTAACACTGAACACTTGCCATGTTATACGCCTGGTGAGTTACTCATACCATATTTTAACACTGAGCACTTGCCATGTTATACGCCTGGTGAGTTACTCATACCATATTTTAACGCTGAGCATTTGCCATGTTATACGCCTGGTGAGTTACTCATACCATATTTTAACACTGAGCACTTGCCATGTTCTACGTCTGGTGAGTTACTCATACCATATTTTAACACTGAGCACTTGCCATGTTATACGCCTGGTGAGTTACTCATACCATATTTTAACACTGAGCACTTGCCATGTTCTACGTCTGGTGAGTTACTCATACCATATTTTAACGCTGAGCACTTGCCATGTTCTACGCCTGATGAGTTACTCATACCATATTTTAACACTGAGCACTTGCCATGATATTATATACGCCTGGTGAGTTACTCATACCATATTTTAACACTGAGCACTTGCCATGTTCTACGTCTGGTGACTTACTCATACCATATTTTAACACTGAGCACTTGTCATGTTATACGCCTGATGAGTTACTCATACCATATTTTAACACTGAGCACTTGCCATGTTCTACGTCTGGTGAGGTACTCATACCATATTTTAATACTGAGCACTTGCCATGACGTTTGAATAAAAACTCTATTTGTGAAATAAATTCGCCACGATCCAGCTCAGTCATGCTTCACACAAAACATATGACAGTGTGAGCCTAAATCCAATAAAGAATTCTTAAGATGACACAGGGCAAGGGTCATGAACGTTTCAGACAATATATTAATCCACAAGTATTCAAGTAAAATAGACAACCTTAACGGCCTTTTCTATCCATATGATTTCTTCGTATAGGAAAACTCAAATGAATTTTCGCATACTTGCTTTCAGGTTTGTGTGTGCCTTTGTCTACTATGGTCTATCCCTCAATTCATCATCGTGGGGAGGTGATCCTTACGTCAATTTCCTCATATCCGGGGCAATTGAGGTCCCTGCCTATGTGTTGGCCCATATTTGTTTCTGGAAGATAGGGAGAAGATACCCCATCAGCTTTGCTTTCATGTGTGGAGGATTAGCTTTACTTTGTATCTTGGTAATTCCAAAACGTAAGTACGAGTTAAATATTACATCAGGAAATTGATTTCCTGACATAAGTTAACTGCTTATGCATACTGCTTACTGCTTGTGCTATTCTCAGGACTTAAATTTAGGAATAAATAATGACAGACCATTCAGTAGGGTTACATTTGACACTCATTGGACAGAATGTCATACAACACACATTCGACACTCATTGGACAAAGTGTTATTAAGAATGTTTTTAAAAAAATTGGGCCCCTAAATCCGAAAATTTTGAAAATTTAAATCCCATTTTTTAAAAATTTGGCCTAAGAAAGGCCTCAAAAGGCAGAATTATGCCAAAAAAGGCCCGTTTTTGAGGCCCTACAAAATTTCTGGGTCTAAATAATTTTTGGGCCCTAAAGATTTTTTCTGAGCTCACAAAAGGGGGGCCTGGGCCCTATGTCCCCCCTCCCCCTGGATCCGCCACTGTAAACGGTTGTCATTGTCATGGTTTCTTCATTAGGATTCGGTACCCCTTTTGTGTGTCAAAAAGCTTTAGTGCTCAGATGTCACTGAAAAACTCTTTGTTTTCTTATAGATATGACTCTGCTAATCATTGTTTTGTCAATGACTGGAAAATTCCTGATATCTGCTGGGTTTGGTATGGTGTATAACTACGCTGCCGAGGTATTCCCCACTCAGGTCCGCAACCTTGGCGTTGGTACATCTTCCACTTGTGCAAGGGTTGGGGGAATGCTGGCCCCGTGTGTCAATTTACTGGTAAGCAAATTAACTGTATACTTTGGATTTCTTAATAAAACATAATTAATTTTATATTTAAAGCTATTTTTGATATACCGAAAATACATACCTACTGCAATGGGTTTCACACTCTCTGTGCACATGTATACTCATGGACAATAAGGTGTGTCCGTATCAAAATGGATGACGTTGATCCCTAAAGAGATTATTTGAGTCAGCCGAAACCATGTGAGATAATTATTTCACCAAATATTCAATAGCTGAAATTCAAAAATATAGGACCATTGTATGTCTATCCATTTTGAAACGGGGAGAAGAGTAGGAGACATCAGCTTAGACCCTACATGTATGTTTGTTTTGGTTTATAAGTTGACTAGAGAGATTTCGCACATACGTAAAATACAACTTATAACGTATACTTATACTTATAAGAAGACGTACGAGGTGTTTCATAATGTGGGTATTTCGTCAGGAAAGATCTTCTCGGACTGTAATAAATAAAGGTCAAATAGTATGTGAGCTAGCACCGAAAAATGTACCGGCTTCTGAACAAATTGAAATTACTTGTTTCTTATGTATTTTTATGTGATACTTCAGAAAATTTTTGTCTGACGCGCCATATCCGGGGCGAAATTTGTCAAAATTGGGTTTTTGACCCTAAAAAGGAAAATTACAGGGGGTACATTATCATCATTTAATAATTCATTCAGTTGATCTTCAATCATCATAATAATTTTATTGAGCCTTGATGAGATCATTCTGAGGTAGTATATAAAGTTTCAATGGTCTGTCACTCATGGTTGCCATGGAAACCACAATTTTTGCTGAGAAAATCCTTAATTTTGGTAAAACCTGTACCTGTACATAATATAGAATATGGATTATTTTTTATATCAACAGATATTAGAACATTTTAGCACTCTAAAAATCACCAGGGCTGTCCAAACATTTGTTTAAAGTGAAAGAATATTGCAATTTATGTGACTGGAAGTGTCAAAGACCATACAATTACATAAGTGGTCAAAAGTGGGCGTCGCCCTCATAATAGTAGTTGATTGCCATTCTCTATAAATACAGAGTTTTACTTGACTTTTGAGATACATTTATATTGAACTTCTTTGGTTATACTTAATATCAATCATTTTAACATCTAAGTGTTATAGTTATTGCATGGGGATACATGGGGGGAGAGAGGGGGGGCTAGTAACAGAATGGGAGGGGGCAGAGCTTATCAGTCTTAAGTATAAATCTCATCTTCATGGTTCTAGATTTCATAGGGTACATCTTCTTGGTCTTATTATATTCATCTCAATATAGAAGATATTAGAATTTACATGGTTGGTAAGTGTCAAAGACCATAGAATAAAACATGTGATCAAAAGTGGGCATCGCCCTAATCATAGTATATGGTTCATTCTCTATAAATAGAGAGTTTAACTTGACTTTTGAAGTATATTTACTTAAAAACATCATTGATTTATACTTAATGTCAAGCATTTCTGGTAAGTTATATACATCTAATTGTAATAGTTATTGCCTGGGGGTGGAGGAGGGGGGGGGGAGTAACAGAATTGGAAATGGGCAGAGCTAATAAGCCTTAAATATAAATCTAATTTACTTAGTTCTGGATTTCATGGGCTACATCTTCTGGGTCTTCTTCACATTCATCTCAATATATGGGATATTCCAATTTACATGATTGGTAAGTGTCAAAGACCATTCAATTACGTAAGTGGTGTTGCCCTCACAATAGTAGATAATTCATTCTCTATGAATATGGAGTTTAACTTGACTTTAAGATATATTTTTTACATTAAAACTTCTTTGATTACACTTAATATTGTAATAGTTATTCCCTGGGGGGGGCAAGGGGGTAGTAGCAGAAATGGGAGGGGGCAGAGCCAATGGCCAGTCAGTCTTAAGTATTAATATCATAGTCTGATCATTTTCATTCTTCTCCTGATGTTAATATATTAACAATATCATATGGAAGAATATACCACTACACTTGCAGATTTGAGAATCATTCAGTTGAATGTGGCTATATGGCGCTCCACCTTTGCCTTTTAAAAAGGTGCTCTTGCTATTGCCCTTTCTGCATGACACTTCATCTGTGAATGTGTAAAGTGCTAGGAAGGCTGCATATATGTCAGGGTCTATATTGGAGGAAATACCACTGACATCAGTCTTCATTTGTTTCCAACTCAAGTATCCAGCAGCACACTGCTGTATTTTGCTTCTTGTTTTCATCATCATACAAGAACTCATTCCAATCTTTAGGGACTCTTGTTTTTCAACCTTAAATAGGGCAAGGTGTCAAGGTCCCTCTTTCAGGTTCCTTTATAGAATTTTTGATGTAATTATCACATACCAAATTAATCAATCTGCAAATGTAGAATCTTGAAAATAAATTGTAGTCTCCGTCAGATCTTGAAACAAAACTAGCTTTCAAGTTTAATTATGGTTTGGGATAGTTGGGGTTTGTTTTCCTTATGACTTGTATACATTTTGAAGTTGTCTTTTTCTTGCCATCTTGTTAGCTTGTTCTGAGTACTTTTTTACTGTCACTGTTGCTGCTGTAGTTTTCAATTTCATATGTTTTATTATATCATGAAATCTTTTTTTTGACTAATCTCAGATGGTATCTCTTCATGCAATTTTTCCTTTTGACTAAAATTAGATGACAGCGACATCATTTGGCACAGATTCTCCTTATGATAGACTGTAGAGATGACCTTCATCCTCAAAATGGTAAATGGATCAAGAAAGTCTTTGATTGCGGTGTCTGTCATCTTTATGTCTTTTTCTGTACTTGATATTTGTGCCTTTCCAAGGTCATTATGGGTGTCACACTCCTCTCATCTCTAGATAATATTCCTAAGTTGGTCTCATGAAGGACCGTCTGATTGTTGTAACCATCTCATCCATATAAAGCACTTGAATGGAAACTAAATGACTCCATCGTTATAATGGGTATTGACTGATATTCTCAGATAAGAGATTGATGATATAGCAACACCAGGAGATGAATCAGAAAACCCCAGAAGATGTACCCTATGCAATCCAGAATTAAGAAGATGAGATTTATACTTAAGGCAGATTAGATCTACACATTCTAATTCTGTTACTACTCACCCCGCCCCAATGTAAAAACTATAATACTTACACAGATATATTTACCAGAAATGCTTGACATAAATTAAAATAACAGCAGTTCAGTATAACTATGAATGTATCTCTAAAGTCAAGTTCAATTTTGTATTTATACAAAGAAGCAATCATCTACTATTGTTAGGATGACACCCCCTTTTGATCATTTATTAACCTTTACCATGCTGCCTTATTTCAGCAAATATATCCCACGCAACTGGCTTATTTTTCAAAGAGTGCAAAAAATGATATGCCTGGACTAAATAATTAATATCTCAATAACTACTGAATGAATCTGGGTAAAATTTTCACAAAGGGAAGATACAGTGGCCTGGCTCATGAAAAAAAATGTTCTCATGAATTTTTTCGTACATTAACACGACTGGGCATAAATATACCATGAATACTCCTCCGGAATCCGCCGCTCCGCCTCTTCGTCTGGTCAGAATCCAAATCTGAATTTGCAGCGATCGAATGTTCAATTTTTCAATTCAGAAAATATTCTAGTTTCTATTTTCGATGACCGTTATCGGCTTCCAAGAGCCTAAAGAGCTCGAAATCGTAATCCATTTCCTCCACATTTTCGTTGTGATCGTATTTGTCCACCATTTTGTACGATTCGTTCACTAAAAACGACTAAAACACTGTTTAAATTGTTGAATTGAGAATTATTTTTCGAAATATCGCCATTTCTAGGTCAACAGGAAGTCATGTTAGGCACTGAATAAATCGGGCAATCTAATTGGACAATACGAACGGCGCGAAAAAGTAAAGTTTTTAAAAGTTTGAAATCGGGCGTACGGGTCCGCCGGCAGTTGTGAGAGATATGTAATTGTATGGTGTTTGACAAATCATGTAAATTGTCATATCCCATATATTGAGATGAATATGAAGACCCAGACGATGTACCTCATGAAATCCAGAACTATGCAGATGAGATTTATACTTAAAGGGGCAATAAGGACTGTAGAGAAAATAGGAAAGTTTTTTAATTTTTTCTGAGCTATCAAGGCAACATTTGGTTTAACATCTTCTTTGACATACCTATTTTCTTAAAACGTATGGATAAATTATCAATTTCAGCATGAGAAAGTGTAAATTCAGTTCAAAGCTTCAAAAAGGGGACTTCCACTTTTATATTTTTAAGATCCACCATGTTTCAAGAGGAATACCAGCTGAAATAATGTTTATCTAGGGGGTTTCTTTGTAGATAATAAAAATAGATGTTAGTCTTGATGAAATATCCAAACTTAAATATATTTTGACACTGGTCCATGATCGTTGAATGACCCCTCTGCACTAATTATTGCACCTTTAAGGCTGATTACCTCTGCCCCCTCCCGATTCTGTTACTACTCTCCCCCACTCTCCCCCAGGCAAGAACTATTACAATTAGATGTGCATTACTTACCAGAAATGCTTGATATTAAGTATAATCAAAGAAGTTGCAATGTAAATGTATCTCAAAAGTCAAGTTAGACTGTATTTATAGAGAATGAATCATCGACTTTGATAAGGGCGACGCCCACTTTTGATCAATTGAGTAATTCTATGGTCTTAATACTTACCAATAATGCAGAATTATAATATCCTATATATTGAGATGAATGTGAAGAAGACCCAGACGATGTACCCCATGAAATCCAGAACTATGTAGATGAGATTTATACTTAAGGATGATTAGCTCTGCCCTCTTTCAATTCTGTTACCCCCCCCCCCATCTCCCCCCTCCCCCCATGCAATAAGTATAACACTTAGATGTACATTATTTAGCAAAAATGCTTGATATGATTTATAACCAAAGAACATCATTATAAATGTATCTCAAAAGTCAACTAAAATTCTGTATTTATAGAGAATGGCAATCATCTACTACTATAAGGGCGACACCCACTTTTGATCCCTAATGTAATTGTATGGTCTTTGACACTTACCAGTTATGTTAATTGCAATATCCTTTATATTTAAATAAATGTTTGAACTGCCCTGGTAATTTTGAGAATGCTAAAATGTTCTGATATCTGTTGATTTGAAAAATAATCCACATTCTATATTAGGTGCAGGTACAGGTTTTACCAAAATTATGGATCTTCTCATCAAACATTGTGGTTTCCATGACAACCATGAGTGTCAGACCATTGAAACTTTACATACTACCTCAGAATGATCTCATCAACTCTCAATAAAATTATTATAATGATTGAAGATCAACTGAATTAATTATTCAATGATGATAATGTACCCCCTGTAATTTTCCTTTTTAGGGTCAAAAACCCCATTTTGACCACTTTCGCCCCGGATACGGCGCGTCAGACATAAATTTTCTGAAGTATCACATAAAAATACATAAGAAACAAGTTATTTCAATTTGTTCAGACACCGGTACATTTTTCGGTGCTAGCTCACATACTAAAAGGGATGCCTTTTGTACTTTCTTGAATTGTAGCATGTTTAGTTGATCCAAATGTGTTTGTCTAGAATAAAATAGGCTCATATATAGTACATACATATAGACCCATCTCTTCTCAAATTGACCTTTTGGAGATGCTCGTTATGAAACACCCTGTATGTCATTTGTTGAGCTACTGAATGGGTCGTTTCCAGGAATTGCTAGAACCTACTGGTTTGATTGGTGTTTCAAATTGATGGTTAAAGTATTTGATTGGATACTGTTCCTACTCAGCCGATTAATTTAGAAAATACTTGTGGTCAATTGTTCCACACACATGGAGGTAAAGCTTTATACGTAGATCCAACTGTATACGTTTATCATCTACGTGTATATACAATTTTGTAAGTTCATTGAACTTATACTGATCATGAAAACTTTGAAATAATCAACTTGTTTATGTAATGACTCACTTGAAAGGATCATGACTCACTTTAAAGGATCGTGTTTAGAATACACTACAACTACTAGGACACGGAAGCAAGCATTTAATTATAATGTGCATAATCTACATGTGCAGATGGCAGTGCATTCACAGTCTCTGGTTGATGGAGCTTTTCTGTATCGGGAATAGTTATGTTCCATTAAGTACAATTTAAAATTGATTTTAGTAAAAATAATAGTTCGACATGACCCTTTAAAGTATACGTATACGTATAAGTTTTACTTTCACTTATGTGCGAAATCTCTCTAATATGTGCTTCAAATATTCGTATACATTTTGCATCTCGCATCTTTCTTTATTTCAAGGGTGCATTTAGTTGGTTCGTACCCAGCCTAATATTTGGCGTAGCATCGTTGATTGGAGCATTGGTTGTGTTACTGCTGCCAGAGTCACGTGGTAGGAACCTCCCAGATACGATGGAAGAGGCGGAAAACTTCAGTAAATTTAAAAGAAAATTTAACCCAGCTATGGACGATTCTACATTAGCCGAACCTTTAAGTTCAGCAAATGATGTATAGCTCTCAGACTTACTTTCTATTAGTCTACTGCGCTCTATGAGTGTATTTAGTCTATTGCGCTCTATGAGTGTATTTAGTCTATTGCGCTCTATGAGTGTATTTAGTCTACTGCGCTCTATGAGTGTATTTAGATGTTCCGTTAGACTGCTGCGCTCTATGAGTTTATTCAGTCTGCTGCGTTCTATGAGCGTGTTAAAGTATTGCGCTCTATGAGTATATTTAGATATTCTGTTAGTCTACTGCACTCTATGAGTGTACTTCAATCTTCTGTTAGTCTACTGCGCTCTATGAGTGTACTTCAATCTTCTGCTAGTCTACTGCACTCTATGAGTGTACTTAAATCTTCTGTTAGTCTTCTGCGCTCTATGAGTGTACTTCAATCTTCTGTTAGTCTATTGTGTTCTATATTTATTCACTGATAAACATTATCCATCATTGTTCAAAAGAAAAATTTACCCATCCTTCTTTTCAAGAAATGGAAAAATCCATGGTTAATATGAAGTCACTTATTTTTTATTTGTATTCATTCATCCAGTGTTTGAATTCTAATGCTTTATCGCCTAGAAGATCTTGATGTGCATATTGATCTTTATTTATTGTTAAGATGCATGGATTATTACAATGAGGGAGAACAGACGAAGGGTAATATCTAGGAAACGCACAAAACTTAATATCTATTTTTTGTTCATCGCAGAGTTGCATTATCAAGAAAATGCTATTAGCTGAACAAACGGGGCTTCAAAGTCCTTTCTCCTAAATGAAAATTAAATGATGCAATTCTCAAGTATTATTTTTTTGAAAAGGTACGTCTTTTGAAATGTAATTACCATTGATATGAGCCATGAAACTGTCTAAAGCTTGCCGTACATCAGTCTGACATGATCGGACATCAAGGGAGTTATATAGTAAAATAATTTCAGTCATGCATAAAATATATTCCATGTATGGAATGGATTAGCCTATGTGTAACTGAAAATATTATGTTCAAAGCCAGGTCCACAAATCCTGAACTATAGGTCACAATATTTTATAACTTTTGATATCCCACATTGGTGATTTAGATTAAGGCTATATCTTCCAGAAGATGATTGAAACGAGTAACGGGACAGCTACTTAAGAATCATGTTATATATCCTCAAGTGATTGTCCAGGGTCCTATATATTCGAGGAGGAAATCTAGGTTGAATTTCATGGTGTAAGCTAGATTTAGTCCTGAAATAAATCAGGATTCTATTTTCTATATCCTAAGGTTTACTTAAATGACTTAGGAGAAATGAGACTTTTTGATGAAAACCGCCCTTTTTATTCCTTATCCTACAAAATATGGTCTACCACCAAGAGACCATTGGTTATCTGTTCTACTACCTGACTTTGATCTTTGAGTGTATATTCATAAGTGACCCTGTACTATACATTTCTTGAATGATTGTTTGTAGATGGAAAAAATAATATCTCTAAAAATAAATGAATTGCAGAATCAAACTTATTTTATGTTTTGATAAATATCATGTAACTTTATATACATATCGGATGTCCTAAAAAGTGAACCGCTTTTTGACAAGTACTTTTTCAGCAATAGGTTTACGGATTTGGTTCAAAGGAAGTAGTGCACTCTCCATTATGATTTCCCCATGAAAAAAATTAATTCATCTGATATTTCAAAATGAATATACCGCTTTTATTATTACATTTATATGCACACTAGTATCTTGTTGACCTTTATTCAGCACTGTATTGATGTATAAGCCACTTATAAGGGTCATAATTCTATCATGATGAAGTGTAGAGGCGAAGATTTCAAACCAGGAAGTATTTTTGTGTCTCGGGTCATAGCGTATTTTTGGTAAATTTTGCAATAATAAATGGAAACCAATGGCCTCTATTGGGATATGATGATATCCCCATGTTAAGCCAATGGTGCACAGCCCCATGTAAGCCAATACAACCTTGCTGAACTAAATGACCCGTATCTCAGCCTATGTGTGCCCAAGCATTTTAAAAATTTCCAGAGAATCACGTGACATTCTATTCTTCATGTTTCACCTAAGAATGATTCATTTTGACCATGCGGGTATCTGCCAATTATCGCACCTCTTCCTTTAATATGCTGATGTCTAGGGACAAAGGAACTTTGTTCAAGATGGCCACTGAATTTCAAAATGGCCACCATTTTCCGTAAAACGTAATATTTGATAACTCAAGTCCCAGTGGACGGATTTGCTTCAAATTTTATTTGCTGATGCCAGTGGATTAAGGAGCGCTGTTTGAAAAAATAGTATCAAAATGGCTGCCGTTTGTCGTTAGAAATGTAATCTTTGATAACCCAAATACCAGTTGACGGATTTGGTTCAAATTATATAAGCTGATGCCTAGGGGCAAAGAAAATCCGCTCGAGAAGAAATTTTCAAGACTGGTTCTATATATCAAACATATTTTGTTATTTCACCCTATGCAGACAGAGCCTGTGGGAAATATTGGGTGCGGAGCAAATGAGCGGAGGGTGCGGAGCTAACGGTCATTTTTGAATTTAAAATTGGGATATTTCTGAAACTAAGCCGTTTTGGGACTTCAAATATACCAAGATATGTGTATTTGACACCAAATATCAATACAATTGTGAAAATAGTAGCGCAATTCATTCTATAGCGACGCAGTGTGCCTTAAACCTTTCCCAGACCTATATATTTTGAAATTATCCTTTTAATACTGAGTCCCCAGCATTCATAAAAAATGGTGTTCAAGGTGCACTATCTATACAAATTATTTTTGCATCTTGGAAGCCAGGCAGTATCTGTGTGATTTTATAAAAATTCGGAAATGTTCTTCAGATATGAGCCCCTCTAAATATTGGGTGCGGAGCAGCTCCATAAACGTAGCTCCGCACCCAATATTTAGAGGGGCTCATATCTGAAGAACATTTCCGAATTTTTATAAAATCACACAGATACTGCCTGGCTTCCAAGATGCAAAAATAATTTGCATGGGTAGTGTATCTTGAACACCATTTTTTATGAATGCTGGGGACGCAGTATTAAAAGGATGGTCTCAAAATATATAGGTCTGGGAAATGTTTAAGGCATACTGCGTCGCTATAAAATGAATTGCACTACTATTTTCACAATTTTATTGATATTTGGTGTCAAATACACATATCTTGGTATATTTGAAGTCCCAAAACGGCTTAGTTTCAGAAATATCCCAATTTTAAATTCAAAAATGACCGTTAGCTCCGCACCCTCCGCTCATTTGCGCCGCACCCAATATTTCCCACAGGCTCTGTCTGCATAGGGTGTATTTGTTCGGTGGGATTTGCTACTCCACGGAGTTGCTGTTTTCTAGTTATGTCATGGGAGGCGATAACGTTGGGGAAAATACACAACAGCTTAGTTATAAGTGACCTTACTGTTAATATTGTATGTTTTGGCATGCTGTTTTTTTATTGAAAATACTCGTAGAAGATGTAAACGATCTCATCCATAAAAAAGGACTTGCTAATGATATCCTATTTAATTGTTCTCCAATGAAAATTTTCTAGCAATTTGCTAATAAAATACTCGTCAAAGAGAGACTCACTTTTTGGGACACGCGATATAGTTTGAAATAGTTTATTTAATTTAGGTCCAATATTATATAGTCGTACTACATGTACTAGGTCTATATTAGTTTACTCGGGTCATAACATATCTACACTTATTATTTTTGTTTCGAAATGATTTATATAGAAACCCAATGCACCAAGACGAAGACGAAGATCAAGAATATATTTTTTATAACTGTTTTTGTTAACATTTTTTGATTTTTATGCAATTGTTTTCGTTCCTTTCTACCAATTCTTGAGAATGAAATAAAATATCTTTCCGAACCTTGTTGGAACAAAACAGCATATAAAACATTTTTTAGACCTTTCAATATTATATGTTATTCAAAGGAAATTTTGGTTGATTTTACAAAAAAACAAAAATATATAAAAATTAAAGTAAACCTTTTATTACATTAACATGATACTTTTTTAAATCAACCAAACGTTCCTTTGTACAATTACAATATTGAGAGACCTAAACACAACTGTGTTTCTGTTGTTTTGTTCCAATGATGTTGGGATAGATATTTCGTTTCATTCCGAACATATGGTACCGAGAACAAAAGAAGTGTTTGATGTGTTTTCTAAACTAATATAGAGAAAAGTATATATATATTTTCAAATTAAACTGTTGCCATTCAAAGAATGATCATTAGATTGACGATGTGTAAAATCTTCAGAATTTTTTGATGACTGGTTTAAGAGAAACATGTGTTTAAATGTTTTCAACAAACTAGTCGTTCCACACTGTGGTGTCATCCCCGGCCAAAACTCATGAAGGAACAGTATTCTGTCTGATGATGACTGTATTTAAACGTGTTTGTCGTCGTCATAACACGAGGCATACTCCGAACTTCTTAGAGGCACCATGGACACACCATTTTCTTCATTCAAGTCATTCCGCTTGGGTTTGAATTTGCTGAACCGTTCAGCGTCCTCTAGAGTTTCAGGAAGGGGCCTGTCCCGAGTCTCTGGTAGAAGTAACACAATAAAACCACCCAAGAGTGACACGAGACCGAAGAAAATGCTCGGGGCGAATCTGCTAAACGTTCCCTGGAAGAAAGTAGTTTGATAAGCCAAACAACAAAGTTAATGCATTAAACTAGAGAATGTTTGATATGACCCCTTTTCTCTTGAATTACGTTGAAGCCTGGGACTCAGTTTTGGAATGATTCATTCACTTTGCTGTTTGTTTGATTTTGTCCAAGCCATCTTGATTAAAAATTCAGCTTGAACAGATTAGATAACTGCACAGTACGATGTACCAGAGACATATAATAATGTAATATGTACGTGGCAAATATGGGTCGACACAATGGAAAGATGACTGGCTATAACTTACCAAAAGCGATACATAAGGAGCTATAATTCCACCGATTCTTGAGCAAGTTGATGAAGTGCCCACTCCTAAATTACGAATCTGAGTTGGAAACACCTCGGCACCATAGTTGTACACCATACCAAACCCAGCAGATATTAGGAATTTTGCGGACATCGATACAACTATTGTCACCGTTGTCATATCTGCAATATATATTAACAATGGGGGAATTCGTCATGAGGTTAATAGTATTAATATATCATCAGAGCGAGTCAGCTACATTGAAGGGATAGAACAACTTTACAATAGAAAATGTAATCATAACGAACTTTTACTTACGCCTTGGTATGGCTAGTAAACAGAACAGCGCCACCCCACCAAAGAAAAACACAAAACTTAGTGGATATCTGCGCCCAACTTTCCAGAAGCAAATATGGGTGAATAAATATGCAGGTATTTCGATTCCTCCAGAGATGAGGAAGTTGATGAATGGGTCACCGCCCAGTGATGACGATGACAAAGACAATCCGTAGTAAACAAACGAACAGACAACCCTAAAATGGGTTCGGGAGAAACATCACAAAATACACATGAAACAATGCATTCATTTAGTATATGTAGTAACGATATCAAGATTATTCTTAAAACAATATATTATGTAAAATTATGAGCTCAAAATAATGGTTATTGGACTTACCAGGCATAGCACATTGCCAGTGTTCTTTTTCTCAGACGAGATCCCCGGAATAGACTAAATATATTACTACCACCACTGCGTCTCTTATTTGTCTCCTAAATTGAACGTGATGAAAAGGATTGGCATCGATATGGCGAACTGAATTGAACACATGTTCAATTAAATGATCATCTTTTGAATGGTATGAATTTAATTTGAAAAAAATATATAAACTTTTGGTATCATATGTTCGGAATGAATTGAAATATCTATCCCAACCTCTTTGGATCAAAATGACATATACACAACGTGTTTAGGTCTCTCGATATTGTAATTGTGCAAAGGAAAGTTTGGTTCATTTAAAACAGTATCTTGTTAATGAACTAAAAGAATTACTTTAGTTTTTATCTATTTTGATGTTTTTATTTTAATTTTTTGAATTATTTTTGTTAAATGAACCAAACTTTGTACAATTACAATATTGAGAGACCCAAACACGTTGTGTATATGTCATTTTGGGATAGATGTTTCATTTCATTCTCAAGAATTGGTAGAAACAGAACAAAAAATAATTGCACTAAAAAATGTTTACAAAAACAGTTATATAAAATATGTATAAATATATTTCGCATCAAATTGTTGTCAATGAGTGACCATACATAAAGGATCGTGTTTTTACAGAATGTTTTCAATAATTGGTTTAAAAGAAAAACAATATTGAATTCAGTTCACCATATCGATACCAATCCTTTTGAGCCCTCTCTTTTAAAGATCTAGAATGTGAGTGTACAGGTGTTTTTAGTATGCAATCGAGGCACATCCTTAAATGTTATATTTCCGATAGTCACATTCAGAAAGGGTTACAAAATGGGAAATGTTGTATCTTTTTGAGTTTTCTTATTACCTCCGATATTTCATCTAATAGTTTTTCAGGAAGTTCCCTTTTATTCGATTTAGCGAACGCTTTGACAACTGCTTGTGCTCTCTTGGACTTGTGTGTTGCGTACAACCATCGAGGAGATTCTGGGATAAAACTGCAAATTATGCAAAATCTTTACATCTAAACATCGAGGTCAGCGTAGAGTGACTTTGGCAAAAATCGTTATAATGAAAAGGAGGTCATTGATGGCATCTTGATCCATCAATGTAACTTATGACTGAAAAAAATAAACTGGTTTAACAGTATATATATGCACTCATCTCATCTTGATCTTTCAAGGTATTTCATATGACCGAAAGAATACACTGGTTTAACAGTATATATAATATGCACTCATCTCATCTTGATCTTTCAAGGTATTTCATGTGACTGAAAGAATACACTGGTTTAACAGTATATATAATATGCACTCATCTCATCTTGATCTTTCAAGGTATTTCATATGACCGAACGAATACACTGGTTTAACAGTATATAATATGCACTCATCTCATCTTGATCTTTCAAGGTATTTCATGTGACTGAAAGAATACACTGGTATAACGAGTATGCATCGATAAATTTCTTATTGAAGATGTTTGCTCAATGACGTTTGCTTAATAATACTTACAAAACAAGTATGCACTGTACTGCTATCGGAATACATAAAACTAACTGTAATGTCGACCAGTCCCTGATGAAATAGGCCACTGCTGCTATAACAAAGTAACCTGAGGCCCATGCATATTGAACTGAGAGACCAGCAGTATTTCGCCATGACGGACCAACGATTTCCATATCTGAAAGAAACAAAAGCGGTTATTTTGTTAAATTTTCAAAAATGATGTTACAATATTTATAAGGATGTAGTGATGCATGTTCAAGGTAAAACAGAATACCTAGTGTCAATTATTTGTATAATATTATTTGTGCACTGTATAAAAATGATGACTTCACCATCAAAGGCCTAGTGTTAACGCAAAAACGAAGTCCCAAACCGACTGCCTCCTCTCCCCCCCCCCATAGTAAAAAGTTTCTATAGGGACCGCCTAAGAGAAAAATGAACTGTACTTTGATTAAAGTAGCGGTCACACTAGCCGTGTAGGCCCACCGTTCGCCACCGTGTGGCTAATTATGGCCAGACGGCGATGGCCGGCATGGTCACACGGTGGGCCGTTTCCCGGCCGTTTGAAAACGTTCAGGGAACGTTGCCGGCCATCCACACCCGGCGAATTTTTTGAGCATGCTCAAAACTTTTTCCGTTTGACTAACGTTCGGCTGCGAACGGCGATAGCGGTATGGGAATGGTATGAGAACGGTGCGGCCGTTAAGGACACGTTCACAAGGCGGTGATGGGACGATGGGGGACGTTGACTCAATCAGCGACGGGTTGCGAACGAAAGTTTACCGCTTTGGTACCGTCCAATAAACGGGCTCCCAACGGGTGTTTGAAATGTCACATTAAAAGCGTTTTCACGGTACCAGCCGCTTAACGCCTAGGTAACAGTCCATTGACGTGTTGACGGCCTTATAACGGCTTCATAACATCCTCCTAACATCCTATTACCGTGAATTCGAAATCGTACCGTCTAATGACGCAGCTTCTCACCGTCTTCTGCAGTTTCTGCAGTTTTTTCCTCTTCGATTTATTCACTCCTGACCATGTGACACTTTTGGTCGTGTCAGACTGTCAGTCTTCATCATGGATTGTCCTGAAAAGGTTCGTTTAATGTACATGGTTGCCATTACTCAGAGAGAGCGGGATGAAATTGACTTAGAAATTGGCAATCACATTCGTCGACATCAGCAGGAAAGGGCAAGGAAAAGCAGAAATGTATGGTCGAGAGAATGGGTGAAACGTCGCAGACAATTTGGATTGTATGACCAGTTGATGGTAGAGCTTAGGAGGGAGGATCCACAAGCCTTTAAAAACTTTCTCAGGATGCCTCCGGAGATGTTTGATGAAATATTGAACAGAGTTGAGCATCGCCTTACCAAACAAAATACCAGGCTACGAGAGGCTCTCGAACCAGGCCTAAAGTTATCAGTGACGCTCCGTCATCTGGCATCGGGTGCGAAGTACAGAGATCTTCAATACAGCTGGAGGATACCCCATAACTCAATCTCCGTTATCATCAGAGAAGTGTGTCAAGCGATAGTGGATGAGTACCTGGATGAGGTGATGATGCCCCCGACCACTCCGGCTGCATGGCAAGATAGCTGACGGGTTCTTGAGTCGCTGGAACTTCCCAAACACCATAGGTGCCCTGGACGGGAAGCATGTCGCAATAAAATGCCCTGCAAAGTCGGGTTCCCTATACTACAACTACAAGGGTTTCTACTCTGTTGTGTTAATGGCGTTGGTAGACCCTGACTACAAGTTTATCTGGGCCGATCTTGGTGGTAAGTGTTTCATGACAAAAAGAGACCATTTATAAACACAACGTCTCTTAATTCAATGAAATTCAGTTACACATCGCAAGTTCGTCAGTTTAAAATAAAATTATTTGTTTTAGACGACCATTACATAATTTACCCAAAACAACATATTTCTTGAAGACAATATTTCGTAAATGTTTTTGGATTTTGAGAGACGATCGGTGAATCAAATTAAACCTAGAGCGAGCATCAACATTCCCTGGAAAATGAAATGTCAAGATAAAGTATGACGTTAAAGTCTCACAACGTTTTTGAATTTTTCTAGAAACATGGTTAGAAAGAATACTTCAAAATGTTCTATAAAGCGCATGGCACGTTTTTAATAAGGTGAAACTGATCGCTGTTCATTTCATAAATGCAACTGTTCTGTATTTTTAGGGAAGGGGGCAGCGTCTGACGCTCAAATTTATAATGCCTCAGAGCTCAAGCAGGGCATAGCTGATTGTTTCCTAAATCTCCCCGACCCCTCTCCACTCCCAAACGACAACCAGGAGGAACCGTATTTCTTTATAGGAGATGATGCATTCGCCCTCACACCAAACATGATGAAGCCGTATGGTGGCAAAGGAAGGAACGTGGAAGAGCGTATACAACTACCGTCTGTCAAGGGCACGTCGCTGTGTAGAAAACGCTTTCGGGATCATGGCGAACCGTTTTCAAGTGTTACTGACGACCATGGGCCATGCTCCTTCAACTGTTCGGTTGATTGTCCGGACCTGTATGGTACTACACAATCTGATGCGCATGAGGTATCCCCAAATGCAAAACCAACTCATCAACCAGCATGGTGATTACGCACACCCAGCTGGACATTGGAGGGGAGCTAGAAATCTTGAAGATACACAAAGACAGGGGGGCCCGGATCGTGACAACCGGGAAGGCAAGAAACAACGCAATCTCCTCCGGCACTGGTGTAACTGCGAGGCCGGGTCTGTACCATGGCAAGACAGGAAAATATGAATACGTACACTCCTGGTCATGATTTTCCGAGGATATAGAGCAATTGAGACTTGTTAGGTTATACAGGGTCAGACAAAAAAGGTAACCCAAACAAGTTTTAATAACTCAGTCTTCTAATATGGGTTTTAAGCCATTTTTGGCACAACTGAATTTTGTTCACTGTTCTTTCATTGGTCTATTTCGAATGATCAAGCTCGTAATGGTAATTTTAAAAAACATGCTCCAAAATGGTCATTTTAAAAAACATGCTCCAAATGCCAAAACATACCAAAATAACACAATCTGAATTCCCAAAATTGTACCTTTGTGGCTTCACTAAAACAATAGAGTAGAAGGAAAGTGAGAGAAATTACACAAGATATTTGTGAGTGTGTTGTCAGAAAACTTCACCCGATCCCAGATAGCACGTCTTTGTTGGCCCAACGTCGGCAATTTTACGTCGGTACCTTGACGTTGGGCCGACGTTGGTTCAAGGTTGTCAAGGCACACTTCTCCGTTGGCCTGAAGTCGGCAATTCTACGGCTGTAAGCTCACGTTGTACCGACGTCGGTACAAGGTTGGCAAATGACACATCTTTTTCGGTCTGAAGTTAGCAATTTTAGGGCGGTACTTTGACGTTGGGCCGACGTTGGTACGAGGTCGTCAAGGTACACTTTTCTGTTGGCCTGAAGTCAGCAATTTTACGGCTGTACGCTGACGTTGTAGACGCTGCAAATGTTGGACCAACATTGGCCCAACGTCGTTGTGCTATCTGGGTAGCACTAAAGTACTGTTGGGCCAACGTTGGGCCACCCACCTATCTGTTCCCTCTGCAAGGCCAACGTTGGGCCAACATTGCCATTAGCACTAAAGCACTGTCGAGCCAACATTGGACCAACGTTGGGCCAACATAATTGTTTGCCACTGTTGGACCAACGTTGGCCCGCTGGACAAAATGACGTTGGGTCAACCGCTCAAGCCGACGTTGGGCCAACAGATGCGTAGTTGTTGGCCCGAAGTTGGCCCACTGGCGGTGTGCTATCTGTGCCAACATTGGACCAACGTTGGGCCAATATAATTTTTTGCCACTGTTGGACCAACGTTGGCCCGCTGGACAAAATGACGTTGGGTCAACCGCTCAAGCCGACGTTGGGCCAACAGATGCGTAGTTGTTGGCCCAACGTTGGCCCATTGGCGATGTGCTATCTGGGACCTATCGATCAGTGCAAAATTGCAGTTGGCAAATTGTAGTTGGGCCAACGTTGGCCCGTTGTTGGCTGCCGCTAATACCAGGAAGCCACCTATCGATAAATCATTGCAAATGCTTAAAAATAGAAGAAAACATACCAGCAGTCATTAAAAAAAATTAAGGTAAATTTTTGTAATATTTTCTTTCAAAATTATCTGATAATGTTGTTCACCTCAAAAATATGGATTTTCGCCTTGTAATACAGTTGAAACCACTTATAAGGCTACCAAATATATTTAGTATGGAAAAACAAGCCACCATATTTTATTGATGTAAAACGGATATAATATGTGAACACATTTACAGTAGCAGTACTGAATGCCTAGATAGCACAAAGACGTTGGGTCAACGTCGCTATCGGTGACCATCGGTTCTCAAGGTTGCAGTTGGCAAATTATTCATGTGGCCTGTCGTTGGCTGCCCAGGGAACCAACAATGGCTGTACAAAAAAGTAAATTGTGTCAACAGTGGGCCAACGTTGGTTCTGTGGTGGCTGCCAATGTTGGACCAACGTTGGCTGACGTGGTTGGCCCACCGTCGCTATGTCCATTGGCCCAACGTTGGCACACCGAAAGAAAATATGGTTGGCCCAACAATGGACCAACGTTGGGCCAACCATATTTTCGGTGGGCCAACGTTGGGCCAATGGACATAGCGACGGTGGGCCAACCACGTCAGCCAACGTTGGACCAACATATACGTAATCGTTGGGCCAAAGTTGGCCCAACTGTTGACCAACGTTGGGCCAACCAGTTTTGACCGCCAATGCGCCAACATCCCTCTTAACATTGTCGGACCAACTGTTGACCAACGTCGGGCCAACCAGTCTTCTTACTATTAGTGGGCCAACTATGGGCCAACGTAGCTTGAAATCGTGTTGGGCCAACAATGGACCAACGTTGGGCCAATGAACATAGCGACGGTGGACCAACGTTGGACCGATGGACATAGCGACGGTGGGCCAACCACGACAGCCAACGTTGGGCCAACAGATACGTAGTTGTTGGGCCAACGTTGGCCCATCAGAGTTGTGCTATCTGGGATACGTTCAAGTTTGCTTTCAAGACAAGACCGGCATTTCGGGCATGTTTGGTAAAATGACCATGAAATGTTCACCGTTTTTGAGTAGACCAATGAAACTTATATTGAATAAGATTTAATTGTGCGAAATACGATCTTAAACCCATACTGGATGACTGAAATATAAAGATTTGTTGAGGTTACCTTTTTGGATCACCCTGTATATCAATAATTACACGTTAAACATATCTTATGTGACAAGCAATTTGTTTTACAAAGACATTTGTGTTATTTAGTTCTTATTTACTATACAAGAGTAGATGAAAAAAATTCTAACCGTTGGCTCTAGATTTTATAATAAGAGGGGTTGGATCCTAAAACTTTAACTCAAGAAAGGGTAGTTAGTTTGCTTGAAACTCTATAGCTATGAGTTTCATATAAATTATAATTATATGAAACTCATAGAGTTTCAAGCAAACTAACTACCCTGTCTCTTGTTAAAGTTTTAGCATTCAACTCCTCTTATTATAAAACCTAGAGCCAACGGTAAGAAACTTTTTGATCGATCCTTGTATGTATACTCAAACTATTTTTTTTAATCAGTAGAGACTTATGATTACTATAAGAGTATACAGGCGAGGTAACCTACATCTGATCTGGATTGGACAATACAATTAAACCAAAAGTCATTTTTATAGCGATGATAGTTTGTGTGATATGTGTTTTGAACATGGACTTTCACATGATGAGGATTTATGCCCAGTGATGAGTGACTTATAGAGAGCGGTTTCATGACGTTTTCAATGCGGTTTGGCGGTACCAATGCGTTACCAATGCGTTCCGACCGGTGAAAACCCGGTGAAAGGAAGGTATAAACCCGTTGAAAACACGGTGACAATGGTAAGCCACTACTCTTTAAACACGTTAGCCCGGTACTAGGTCGGTATAAAGCCGGTGCAGACCCGGTATAGCACGGTATAAACCCGGTCATAAATTCAAAAAGAAATGCGACCGTCGCTGAATCGTCACCGTCTTGCCATAATCAGCCACACGGTGGCGAACGGTGAGCCTACACGGCAAGTGTGACCACAGCATAACGTAGTACCGTTTTATAATTGGTGTGAACTTACTGAAAACGAAGCCAACGGTAAATCCTGCAACGCTGAATACACCAAGACAAAACCTTAATACTGCAAACACACTAAAGTTAGGTGAAAAGGCCAAACCTATGGATGAGGTAAGAGTGAGTACCATCGCAGCAATCGTGGTATACTTTCGCCCGAATCTGAAAAGATAACAATTATATACTGTATGTATGCATATAGGGAAGATAATCATCCACTGGGAATGTAAAAAGACAATTTAACCTTGGAAGGTTGACTGTAACATTAGTATTTGTAATGTCCTAATGTATGTTTAACCATATGGATTAGATTGAGTGCCAAATTCTTTTATACTATAATTTAACTCTAGTCAATTTAAAGAGGCAATATATTACATGTTAACCCTTTCTATTTATTATGTATATGGATTTGTAATTATCAAACTTGTGCAATACTTGGGATAAACTGTTTTATAATACATTACTGATGCATATTGACCACAGTGTATGTTCAATGTTCTTGCGAACATGATTCTATTTGGAAGTTAGTGACCAGTGTCTCATAACACTGGTGATCCTTACGCTGGTTACCCACGACGTTTTTTGTTTTAGAAAATGTACATGTTTGCGAACAAATAGCTCAAAAGACAACAGAATCGTCGATTTAATTCTCGATATTTAACTAGCAATCAACCCATCAACACATTTTTCAAAAATGTTGACCTCATTTTCACCAAAAATGCAGTCATTTTTTACATTGTTCAATGCATTACTATTCTTTATTTTAATGTATCAAAGATTTCTTGAAAGAAAAAAAAAATGTTATTTCTCCATTGAAAAATCCCATGCTATCCATTGGTTTCAGTTCATTTTGGTCATCCAAATTCAGTATCTTTAAAGTCCCTGGACCAATCCACTTTTCCTCTTAGGAAATGGAACATGTCTCAAAGCACATTCTAATTATGCATTCAACAATATAATAAAAGGTTGCATTTTTGGTGAAAATTAGGTCAACATTTTTAATGTGTGCTATTTTAATGTCAACACAACTGGTCATTATATGACTATGCTATATATATACTGAAATGTTGCTTATCAATTCTTAAAAACAGCTTTAATGATGATTAAAAATCCAACCAACCTATTATTAAAGTATGTTTGCAACAAGCTCTCAAAGGGGGATTGTTTGATATTTTATGTTCATAAAACAGAATACGTTTTATTATGTCCATATAATTTGTATCCTCCGACAAACTGGTTACATTAACGTTATTGATATGTGGTTGATGCATAATTTGTTGAAAGCTTCTCCAGAAAGTGCCCTTAAAGGTAATCCTTTAAATGACAGACAATGAAAACATCAGACGAAGTATTGTTATTTTTGTAGTGAATTTAGATTTTGCTGTCCAATATTTCGTATCCTCCTAACACTAGATTTCAGCTATGTACCAATACGATTTCAAATAATCATTTTGAGAAATGAAACTAACAGAAACTAATACAATGATTGTTAAATAAATTCTCAATATCTAGTTTCTTAGTAAATTGAATGTGTTAAGCGTGTGTTGTAGGACACAAATCATATGGACAAACTAAAACGTATTCTTTTTTTATGAGTATAAAATTTCAAACAATCCCTTTTGAGAGCTTGTTGCAAACATACTTAATAAACAAGTTGGAAATTATCGAAGAACATGATTCGTTATTTGTTGTGTTGTCAGTTGTTGAGCTTATATAAGCAAACTTTGATTTTTGTCTCAAAATCATCATGAAAGCTGTTTTTAAGAATTAAAAAGCAATATTGGATATTTTGGCATACTGCTTTTAATTTGACTATACTCACATAATATAAACCGATCGACTCTTTCATATTTATGGCACTTGATAATAATACCCTATAATTCCCCAGTAAGAATTTGGGTTATCTATTGCTGAGAAAATACTTGTCAATAAGCGGCTTACTTTTTGGGGACACCCGATAAATAACTTTTTTCAACTTAAAGAATTAATACATCAACAACTTAAATACCCTAAAAATAAATTGTTATTGCACAACGTATATGTGATATACCACATGTAAGACTATATTGGGTATCGGGGTCGACAAACTTTTGGAGATAAATGTACAAGTTTAAAAATATCATATCATACCATATCAATTATGTCAATATTTATTTCAAAACGGATATTTTTATACAATGAACATTTGCGCAATTGCTATTGACCGGCATATGAACCTTTAAAATAGAATTTTAAAACATGTAACAATATAAACAAACGAATTATACATGCATATATTAAAACTAGTCTATGAGAGGTACCTGTCTGATATTTGACCTGATAGAACGGCTCCAACAAGGGCGCCAGCTAAGAAGATGGACTGGACAAAGGCAACCATCCACTTTTTGTCGCATACCAGATCCCACTACAAATCAAATGAATTCCAATAGCCTCGATCAACAAAATATATATATACACATAAAATAAATGCAAATGCATGGTTATTATATGGAAAAGTGTAATATGGAGAAAAAATGGGCTCGTGTGAAAAAAAATTGAATAGTTTCATACTTTATGAACACGTAACACAAGAAATGACACCCACCCACATAATATTTCATAACTTTTTGTCTGAAGAAATTCTGACTTGTTATTTCACACAATAAAACTACACTTTATTTTGCAACTCCACAATAACTTTGAGATTACCAGCTCACCTAGATGCACACAAATGAGCGTTACAAAATGTGTCGTCTATTCCTTTGCTGGCACAACTGGATCTTACACAAAAATGACACCCACCTTTTGTAACATAATTTTGAAAATAAGTTATAATGATTTTATCAACGACAACTACATTATTTTGTGTTTAATTGAATGGACTTCATTTCCCTGAAAGTACAAGCCAAAATTATTAGTATTTACAAAGTTGTGTTACAAAAGCTGGGTGGCATTTTTGTGTAGAATCCATGTGTGTCTCCAAGGCATGGTCGACATTTAGAGAAATGTTGAAACGCTCATCAAATTTGACCCACTTGAGCAACACATCTGACATTTTTGGAGATGCTTTCGCATTTAATTGTGTCAAAGGACAAGTCTATATGTTAACTGACAAACAAGTTATGCAACGTAAGGTGCACTTGGGTGTCATTTATTTTTGTTTCACCCTGTTAGTATAAGCTACATGTATGTATAATGCAATTCAACCTATTGAGGCTTCGAGACCCTTACAAAAAAGTGTCTGGTTAAACTATTATTTTCACAAAGTGTTAAAATCATTTGTTTGAAAATAATTTTAGCATTCCAAATATATTTTTCACTTACCTGAGAAACAATGGTAGTTGAATATCGAGATTTGTCATAGTACCATTGTTTGCACGGCGTCAGTCCTACATCTGACCCATTTACATCCCAGGCCTCCACCGCTGACAGTGACAAGTTTGCGTAGTCTCGATTATACATATGACATTTTTGATAGCCCCCATTTTCAGGGTCCAATGGTACACTTAAAGTTCGTATTTTATCAATCGTTAAATTAAGCGTTGAATTCCAAAGTTCGGGGACATAACAATGATGTTCTGGAACTGCGGCCAGAAAGACAATATTTACGTTTACCATAGATCCTGCTGTCGACAGTGAAGCTAGTATAATTAGAATCCATATTTGATATGGTCCGATCTCTCCTATATGTTCAGTTAATAACTGGTCAAAATTCATTTCTTCTTCTCTCTTGAACCATCAAATGAAAGGTACACGACGACGGTTGAATATATAATTTAAAATAATCTGCATTCTTGAAATTACAACCAAAAACCATGGCTATTTTTAGATTCAGTGAAATTGATTACCCTCATCAATTCAGAATTTCATAATTTAATAATGAGTGAAAACCTATAAATACAATAAAACTTTGTTTTGCCAAGAAAATAATGTTCGGTGTTGCTAGGTGTTCATATTAGCTACAGAAAGGATTTGATTTCACGCCATTTTGCCATATATTATATAAGAGACCAGTTATTTAACAAGGCTAACGAGAGGGAATATTCAGCTTCTGTATTCAGTTAACACAAAAGATAAAACACTGAACAGCTCTGAACAGCTCTGCTTTATTATAAATTGATTATAAATCAAATTCATTACTCAAAGTAGTAATTACATGTATGCACTGTACCTAATGCCTTGGTCACATTTGCCCCGATTTTCACTACTGCGCCCGGCCGATTGAGTATTTTGTTCAAAATGGAATACAATATTGAGCAAAACAGTCAATCGGCCGGGCGCCGGTCGATGGATCTGAGCAAATGTGACCCAGGCATAAACAACATTCATTTGGCAGCAAACTTCGATATATTGCCAGGCCAACATCAAATCCTTTCGCGAGTAGCTCCTGGAACTTGTTTACAGACCTGGAGACAGAGTTGGGTATTTTCTACCCATGATACGTTTATTGACACTCTAGCGATACGTGTTTTCATGCTTTTATTATCATATTTTAATCTCTTCATTATCATGATCTCTTTATTAGAATGGTCGAATCTTTGAGACAATTGAGTCAATTAAAGGCCCCATATAAAGTGTAAACCATTTTGGCTTATTAGTGTGTGCCAAATTGCTTTCTAAGTGGCTTAGTTAGGCTAAACCTATGTTGTGGTAGCTTACTATGAATTGACCCATAGTCATTTAAGATTGATCTATTATCTATTCATTTTTACTTGTCTGCAGTCAAAATAGTGACACGAAAGGGCTAAACGGCTTGCACCAAGGTGCGACCGTCAAAAAGATGAGTTTGAAAAATATACATTTTTTTAAATAATACTTGTAAGTATACAAAATGAGATGCAAATTTGATATTGATGTGTAATGATAGTCCATTCAGGTGTGGTAATTTTATGAAAAACAATTATGGTAAAAAATTGGATATTTATGACCTTAAAATGCGTTTTCAATTAAAAAGTTACTGTTGTCAAGGATAGTATTCCTATTTTATATCGTCAATGTTTTTTAAATATACCAATAACCATTTCATTAGTTTTTGACAAAGTAAATAATCATAGGGCTCACACAAGGATCAACTTTCTTCACAGCATTTTCATATTAAGTGATGTTTTGAAAAAATACGAAGGTAAACTCAATTGTATCTTTTATTTGTTGAAGAAAAATTAATTATATGTTTGTTTTCTTGTTTTCGACTGAAAAATCTCAATTCATCGCCCTTGCTTTGCAAGCAGGAGAGTCTACACCAGTTCGAAAAAGTCTTCAAAAAGTTGATCCTTGTGTGAGCCCTACAATTATTTACTTTGCCAAAAACGTATATCATGGTTATTTGGATATATAAAAATCATTTAATAGGTAAAATAGGAATAGTATCATTGACTTTTGATTTTGAATAAAAAAGGGATTACGAGCATATAGTGCATCACTTCCAGGACAACACTCTATATTTATAGTGATGCAGCAGATAGTGAAGTTGATTCTTTTTAGTTTATAGCTTGCAGACAGTGATCTACGAGACATCATCTTGTAGTAATGGGTGTGACAGTGATAAGACGGGAATTGATTTTATTAATGCCAAGTTTTGACAATCCTGGTATTGATGGTTTATCTTACGGACGTCATATTAAAAGATACCAATTTGTATTACATCACCATCAAAGAAGTTTGATTTGTTCACAGATACGTGTCAGAGTGACACCCGTAGCAGTTGCAATAGATTGATTGATATGCAACAAGATATGTGTGAGCATTCATTGCAACATTTACTTAAGAGTTATAATTTTACTAAATCTGATGGGAAATTACATCTCTTTTGGTTTATTCAATTTAAATATTACTTTTGCAATACAGATACCTTAGTTTTGAAACATTAGCAGCAATTTCATTTCAAAAAGATCAGTTTTTAACTTCGTATGTTTTGTTCATAAAATTTGGGGCTTTAAGTTGAGAACAATTCTGACCCTTGACAACCGATTATTAGGTGGTCTGTTGTCAGGGTCAAGGTCTATAGGTCAAGATCATTTCAAGGTCATCAATATCTAAGTATTTGGCGTTTTTGGGCTGAGGTTACCCTTTGTGAATCATGAATGTGTGACCTGAGGTCAAGGTTATTCCAAGGTCAAATATCAGTATCTAAGTATTTGGTGTATTAAGGCCCTGGGATCTGCTGTAGCTAGCGACTCATGATAGAGTGACTTCCAAGGTCAATATCTAGCAATTTGGAGTTTAAGGGCAATTGAGAACAATTGTGAACTTTGGTGACCAATGATTAGGTGACCTGGTGTCAAGGTCATTTCAAGGTCAAAGGTCAATATCTAGGTAGTTGGCAACTGTGGGGCTACAGTCCTATTTAATGACCAATGATAAAGTGACCAGAGATCCATATGTCAGTGTTTATGGATCAAGATCATTTCAAGGTCACAGCTCAATATCTAATTAGTATTTGGCGTTTTGGGGCTGAACGTGTTTTGTGAAAACAATATGATTTTTCTTATGTAAAGTCCCCGTGATAAAAATGATATCATCCAACTTCTTCACTTGAAAAGAAAAAACATCATGAATCTCCCACAACCTTTATTTTCAACTTATTTTTTATGATTTCATTCTGGTTTGATTCCTTGACAACTTAATGATACACTACATGATTTTACTACTATATGTACAGGTATAAGCATCACCTGTGGTGCCACCTGTTATTAATAATATTCGTAAACATAATGCTTGAATGTATGAATAAATTGAAATTGAAATTATAAATATATGAAAATATATCTGACATATATTATTGATAAGATCCCCACCTTGTCACTTTTTGAAAAATATTAGGCTTATTTTCTGAAGTATTTTTTCTTAATTTGAATATATCAAAAGTTCCTCTACGCTCATGAATTAACAAATTCTGAAAAGGGGACGGGTATTGAAAAGCGATAAAGTTAAAAACCACAAATTCCATGTTATTTTCCATTGGAAAAACTCAAACTATCCATTGTTTTCAGCATAATTTGGGTTTTTAGATTGTTCGAATGATATTTTTATAATCATTGAGAATTGAATTTTCTAGAAAGATAACATATTGAGTTTTTGAGAAATGTCATATTTATATTGAGAAAGTCGTCATGGTAAAATATATGACCGTCAGATATCACTTGTCATACTATACCTGGTCCTTTGCCAATTTGAAGTGAATTGTAAAATCATATCAGAAGAGAGGATATCCAAATATGAGGTCATTAGTTTAATGACTGCATGACTGCAATCAGTAATCAACAGTCACGTTGACGAAGTTTTTCACGAGAGTTACTTTCTCTAGTAGTTCTGAATTGGATCAGTAACCGGATGTGTTTCCCAAAATCTAAATTCAAAGCAAATTTAAAGTTTAATGGCCAAAGCAAGTTCAACATATTATATTTAGCTAAATCAAACAACAAATAATATTTAATTCACACTAGTTTCTTCATATGCCTGGACTAAAAAATCCCGAATCTGTTTGGGTGAAATAACCAAATGTGACCAATAATATTATAATATTATATTTGAGCATTGTCTCTTCACTTTCCAGTCAAAAATGTAAGATTTAAAAAAAATTTACAAATAATTGCAGTAAAACATGCAAAATATAATGCACATTGGTTATTGAAATGTAAAGATAGTCCATTAGGGTATGGTTATATTATTAAAAACATTTATTGTAAAAATTGGGTATTTCTAACCATATAATGCTTTTTATTCCAAGTTCAATGACATTCTTCCTTTTTTACCTTTGAAATGATTTTCATACCGACGAATAACCATTATATCAGTTTCTGGCAAAGTAAATAAGTGTAGGGCTTACACAAGGATCAACGTTTTTTAAAACTGTTGATGTACTTGAATATCCTCTGCCGTTCTAAGAGGAAGAGCAATGAATTCCGATTTTTCAGTCGAAACAATGAAATAAACACACTATGTTTATTTTGTTAAACATTTAACAAATAAAATTGTGTTTAACCTTATGAGCCCTATATTTATTTACTTTGCCAAAAATGAATATAACGGTAATTAAAATATTTTGAAAACATTGAATAGGTGAAATAGGAATATTATCATTAATAACCATGACTTTTGAATTAAGATGGTATTTTCAGGTCAGATATATATAATTCTTCACAATTATTGTATTTTATAAAAATGGCCACACGCAAATGGACTATCATACTTATCAATATCAAATTCGCCTCCTATATTGTATACCCATTGCTATTATTTGAAAAAAATAATTTTTTATCAAACTCATCTTTTTGATGGTTGCACCTTGTGGCGAGCCGTTTAGCCCATTCGTGTCACCTTTTTGAGTGCAGACAAGTAAAAATGAATAGTTGATGGACCAATCTATAATGCTAATGGGTCACTTCATAGTAAGCTACCACAACATAGGTTTTTGTGATTTTCTGGAGTTTTGGCACACACTATATATTTTAATATTTCTCAATGCTATCAAAATGTAATATGTGAAACTTTTTTATTTAAAAAGTGGTTTTTGAAGGACTTTTTGTTCGAAAAGTCGTGAATTTATTTCAAACTAAATTTTAGCCATCACACATACATATGTTTCTTTATGTAAGCGACAATTTACACCAATGCATGTGTCTTATGTACAAAAAACCAAGAAAATTGGTTGATAAACAAGCGAGAATTGAATTCATCAATGCATTAGCCTAGTTCTCATAGAAACCAATGGTTTAGTAGTATTTAAAACATAATATATTCTTCTTTTCGAGCTAGTTAGACAATCAACATTGGTTAATATTTTCACCCTAAAAATTGAAGTCAGTCTAAACAGTATTTGTGAAGTTATTGGAAGTTGTAAGAATTTGTTACAGACGCCAACCACCAACCGCCAACCGCCGTCAAAAAACGGAGACCACCCCAATATGTTACCACTTTTTGGTGGTGACATAAAAATCTGTAATTTCACCATAA